AATCAGAAAATTTTTGCGAATTTTTTGATATATATCTCGACCGGTAATTCCACACCCCATAGAAGTACTTTCCTTGTAAAAAAGAAAGTGCTCGCGATGAGCCCCGTGTAATCGTCAAATTTTGACAGCGTAGTGTATAAAAGCACCATTTAAACTTGTGAAACTTTTAGCTTGGGCTTTTTACGCACAGAAAAATATAAAACGACCATTACCGGGAGTAGACGTGTGCTAATAAATGGCAAAAATATTTTTTTTTTGTCCTAAAGCATCTGTCAGACGATGTAATTACCATGTTGTGGCAAATAACAACTTCCAAATGGGTCTCTGAAGAGCTTGTGTTGCCCTTCAATCGGCCAAGTAATAGTTAAGACAAGGAATTTAAAGTGCGAGGTTCCCAATCAGTGCGCCAAATGGGGTTGCTTTCGCGGTGAAACGCATGTTTTTGGCATTTGCCACGGAAAAATGACAAGCTTGTAATTACTCCAAAATTTTTTGGGGGCGGAGGGGGACAATCACATTTGACGCAACGTCTTGTTGAATCTCCCACTTTAACTAACTTTTGGGTCAATTTCTCCCATGTGTAATACAAGTTCATGTCTCACATAGGTAGCCAAAAACATCAATCTAAAAATGGCATAGTCCACCCCCACCTCTTGCTCCCTAATTAACTAAGGTTCACCCGCGGTTCGTTAATTGATCGGATAACGGTGACTATATTGGTAGTCTTATCTGTTTAATCTAGTTTTCTGTTCATAAATTAAGACGAACCTCCAATTTTGAGATTATGACCGTCTTCGAACGAATCATTGACCGTACCCGTATTTACTTCCCACTTTAAAATGTACAATCCTGTTTAAATTTGCGCTTTGCGTGTTGAATTTTTAAAATTGCATGATCGTTCGTTGAGATTGAACCTATGACAGATTATTAATTCCTTAGTTTCAACCATAAAATACGTTACTTTTTGTCCCTGATTAAATTAAACTTCCGTGTTTATTTTATAAAGATCAATGTTTAGAGCGCTAAATATAGTAGATTACAGAAAAAATCCATAAGACTTTTCAAACCTTTTTTCTCTACATGAAATTTCTTTGCAGCGTCTAAACTACAAAAATGTAGTTTGATTGTAATACTTAGATTAGTTTACAGCTATAGCTGTTGACATTTGGGAAACGGTAATATTTTTGGAAGTTTGTGTACATCGGCATCCTTGCTGTTTTGCACGGTTCATGGAGGATGCGAAATAGCCTTGTACTATCACAAAAGGACTCATAGTCCGAGCCGGGCCCGACATTTTGAGCCGGCCAAGCCCCTGCCGTGCTTATGGGGATGTGTTATTTAAAGATTGATCTTAAACTTTGCCAACTTTTACCTCGTCTTTGATACAGAAACGTTTGATTCATAAGACATCGGGAACTGACCCGCATTCGGTGGTGAAAGTTCGGGTGACCGCCACTTGAAGAAAGCCTTTCTTTTTGGACCACCCCTTCACAAATTGTCGTTTGCAGAACCCGTTGAACTCCTTGTCTTTAGGAGTTCAACGTTAGCTTAAAAGGTCACAGTCTTTTCCTTGCCTAATCTCCTTTCCGCCTTGATTAATTTCGCATCTACCGTTTTTAATCGTTCCTTTTTTTCACTATCCTTTTTCGATTTTTCTGCAGTTTTAAAAGATTACTGATCAAACAAAAAAGTTGCTTTAACAATGAGAGAAGATCTTCAAACGTCGGCAAAAAACAAACAATCGGATTTCGCGGTAATTAATATTTGTGTTCTCCAAGGGCTTTGTGTACGTACACAGCACTTGAGAAGAGCGATCACTTAGGAGTAGATTCACAGACCATGTATTAGTAACAAGTGGTTATTCGGAGTAAGAGGTAATTTGGCAGATTTTAAGCGGTTCGGTGCTTTACAGTTTTGGTGCTTTGTTAGTGGACTTGATGTAAAAATATAGTCCATTATATATAATTTTGCCACCGAAAGTCCAACGTGTAATGGGATTACTGTAGCTTTAAAATTGAAAATTTCATCCGACATGGAGGTCCAATCCAAAAATGATGACAATTCCATTCAGATACTGTAAATTTGTTTACTCTTCCCTCGTAAATTCGTCAATTTCTTCCCCAATTTGACCCGTAATAACCTCTTACCTAAAAAAGTAACCCATTAACACTTTGGGGGCTCAAATTCTTCTGTTTATCCGTCTCCGGAAGCCATTGGGCCGCTCCCTAAGTGCACCCTCAGACGGGGACGGGCCCTAACTGCCGGCGGCGGATTCTCGTCGCATCAAATGTGGTTTGGAAACAATGGGATGAAATAATAAAATTTGTCCCACCGCCGTCAATTAATTGCTTAATTTTTCGCCGTTTCCGTCTCTACGAATCCGACCCTCCGGGGCTTTTGTTTTTTCCGCCGAAAATGGCTTGGGTTTCGAGATGGGGCTTTGTTCCCAAGCGTCGGGACGGAATCACCGTCACAGGCTTGGTCGAGAGGAGGGAGGAAAAGGTTTCTGAAGTATGGAGTTGGCGGATTTATGAATGTGGATCTTGGCCCCCGCGTTAGCTTGGCTTATTGAATTCTTCAAGGCCATGCCATCTTAATGGTTTCAATAAGCCAAACTTCGGTACAACAAATCCCAAGGGATCAAAAAATTTATTTTCTTTGTACGGATTTCGTTGTATTAGAGTTGGTTGTCTAGATCTTCTACAAATCCAAATTTCCAAAGCTTGACGACCATTCCTCAAAATCTAATTCCATTAATTCCAATTTTCGAATATACTCCGACTCCCAAATCAAACGGTTCGTCAAGATTTTACATATAAAGTATGTTAATGCATTCGGCGTTCACCCGAAACCCTACATTAATCCTGATTAACTCTGTCCTTTTATCGGGAGCTAGTTTCGTGTTCTAGGAATCTCAAAAGTTTCACGTTCGGAGTACATTCCGCGTGCGTGAAGATTTTTTTGACAGTTTCAGTTTTGTTCTGGGGCTTTTGACGTTTTCCGTCACTCAAATTGTTTGGAAGGCGTAGGATTTGTATAACTGAGGCTGTATAAATATTCTTATAGTTTAATGGAAATGGTTTATAGAAGCGGGTACCTCGCGTATGCCTTTATGGGAAATTTTTGGAACTTTCGGCGTAGAATTCATACCAGAATTAAAGAATAGGTAAAATAATTTTTGCTCTGAAACGCCCTCCTAATTTTTTTTAACATTCTTGTTGACCTCAAACGCCGTCAAATAAATTTTTGACAGGAAAGTTTACAAAATTGGTGTTGTTTGCGATTTTCTGAAAAACAGCACAACGAATCACAAAGACCAAAAAAATAATTCGTTATACATAGGAGGGTCTCGGTGCATGGATTCATTTAAATAAATAAAAAGGACGACTCTTGTATCCCTACACCTCCAATTACCATACCCTCCTTGCACATGACCTGCAAATGAACTTGTCGCAATGCCCACCCAAATCTCCCTCGTAAACATGTAAAAATACCGAAACTGTTTTTACGAACAGAGTGTTTTCCATGTCAAGCGAAGGGGGTGATAGAAACGTCCGTTATTATGTCGTCTTTGCTTTCCCCTGGCCTTTTCAATGACATGTTTTGAGGGGATTTCCGCGCACTTTTCATTGCCCAGTTCTTATACTCGGGTGTAATAAGCACGGCGTCTGGCTGATTAGAGCGGCGCGCCCTTCAACTTACTGGGCCGACTTTAATGTCATCGGAATATGCCATGAATTTGGTAATTTATGCTGGTTGCTTGTGCGACAAAAAAAACATGTAGATTAGTCAGTACTGTAATGGTTTTTTCTGTATTTTCGATATTTTCGTTAGTTGAAAATCCCTGCCCCTCACTGAGAATTTCAAAAATTTTGGGTATTATCCAATAAAATTGGGAATGTAACCCACAAATTTGAGTTTATTGCCTTGAGAAAATAGAAAATAGAAGTCGGCCTTTGCATTATTTGAGATGCGGAATGTTTCCTCGAACAAAATCTCGAAGTATCACTCGGGGAAGGAAGCTGATTTATGAGAAAAAGTGTGTGAGAGATTACTGACTTTAGAAGGCTGGAAAAGTTGTTAAGATGGATTCAGATTGGTAAAGGCATGAGAAAGGGAGTCGGGCAGATACTTCGAATGTCTCACTGCCTCCGCAAAGCGCTAGCTGAAATATTAAATTTGCTTTTATTAAGACAACGTTTTCATTTTTTTAACAAAATTTAACTTTGTTTTTGGCAATTTTTAAGGCTGAAGATGCTGCCTTTATTGCTATTTTGGTCCTAGAGAATTCGTAGAGTACAGTCTTCACTTTACATTTTCTATGCACTGTCTGAAGCTTGCACCACGGGCCTTTCTTCTTGCATTACATTACTAACCAACCTTACTTCCGACTTTCTCACTCTCAGATGCACTTTGCCTTCTATTGTATTGTTCTTTTCTCGATACCTGAACTTTTTCTTCCTGACACCGCCGCCAGCATTATGCCCCAATATTCGGGCGCCCCTATTATGGTAATATGGCGGAATGCAGCCGTTAGACCGGGAGAATCCCAAATCAGGGCGGCTAATTAATGAGAACCATTCTTAATAAAGTATTTTTTGTTTTCTTCAAAATAATGGAGACCACTGGTTTTAAAGTTGAATATTTTAGTTTTACTTTCGAGACTCCGGGATTTTGATCGCATTTCTTAATATAATAGTTTGAGTGTTAATATTTTTCTTGATTTTTTTGGCTGTATGAGGTTGTATGTTAGAACAGTTTTAACTTTTATAAACGGCGAAAATATGGGGACTTGGCAAATAGCCAAATTTTTGACCTATTTTTTTGATTAAGTTTGTTTTTTTTTGCATCGAATGTTTGATTTATTTTCCAAAACATTCAAAATTGCTTTATCTTGTTGTCATCGTTTTTTATTTTTCTTATTTTTTGTCCGGATCTATTATCACCGAAAATATATGTACAGCCAACATTTTTTACTCTTTTTCAGCGGCTTGTATGTCATGTCCAATGTCGACGTGTATGATGGGGTCTCGCCGGTCTGGGAGAACTTTCTCTGGCGCCATCATCAGCAGAATTGCACACCCATACAAGTAGGTACCCTGAAATAACTTTTTTTAATTAGAAAAAGTATTGAATTTTTAATATATAATTGAATACAAAGATCGCAAAGGTATTCCAAATTTTCTGAATATTTTATGATAATTGTCGACCAAAATGTACGTCAAAAATGATGACATAAATCTCAAACTCTGAATTGTAATCCTTTCCAAGGAAAAGTGCAAGGAGTTCCGAGAATGAATTGACAATAATTAAGGATGGGAAGTTCAACTTGTGGTTCAAATCTTTGAGGTCTAATTGCAACTTCAATTATGTTATCCATAAAAATATTTTTTATCTTTAATAGGAGAATTAAAAAACAAGTAAAAAACTTTTTTTTCAATTTGAGAATAACATACAAGTCTTTTCAGGAGAGTATTCCAGAAAAGGTAGACTCCCTTCCCATCCAGCTCTTATTCTCGGTCTTATATTTAACAGTATGGCTATGCGCAATCACGGGTAATTTGTGTGTCATATACGTTGTTACACTGAAACAGGTGAGTCTCTTCTCTTTTATAATGTTTCAAAAAAACTTGATACATGATGATGTATATTGTAACAAGTTTTCAGGTATCTCTTTCTGCCGTTCGTTCTGTATTTATTTGTTCGTTGGCGGTCAGCGACATTGTAATGTCGCTAACATCGCTCCCCATCACCGCGGTGTCAATATTTACGAGGGATTGGGTGTTCCCTGGGATTTGTTGTAAACTGATGGGGCTCTTTCAGGTGAGTTCTGTTTGATCATTCTAGAAGTGGCAAGCTCCTGTTAAAAAATTGAGTGATAGTACAGTAATTTTTCGATATAAGACTCTCATAATTTTTCTATTTCTTTATGAACTTAGTTCTCTGTAAGGAGATTCCTCTTGGTATAAAGTTATATATCTCCACCGAAATCGTTCATTATAAATACAACCGGTTACAGCTGCCGGTGTTAGCTCCACAGAGGATTCCCTGTAACTTTTATTTTTCAGGGCGGGAGTGTATTCGTCTCTAGTTTCACACTCACAGCCATCGCCGTGGATCGATATATTCTGATCAAGCATCCGGCTTCTTCTGTAAGTTTCTCAAGTCGTTTTTGCATCTCAATCTCCCTATTTCAGAAAGTAAACTTCAACAAAGCCTTGTACAGCGTCATACTAATATGGATAATGGGATATCTCTTTGCGTTGCCTGTAGGGATTTTCTCGACCACCGAATCGTATTATCCATTCTGTGGGTCGTTTTGTGAAGAGACATGGTATGTTAACACACATTTTCTATAAATCTAATGTTGCTTTTTGCATTTTCAAAAAATATTTTTTTTTTGATGACTAAAGTAATACTCATACATACTTTTTATCGAATTTTCCAAATTTCAGGCCGGATACAAATAATCGAGGGGACTCTCAGATGCGCAAAACATACGGTGAGTTAATTTTGACAGAGATACTGTGATTTTTCACATCTTAAATTCTATAATCCACAAAAATTTCAGGGTTAGCAGTGTTAATAATTCAATTTGGCCTGCCTTTGGTGATCTCATCTCTTTGCTACTACAGTATTGGGCGAATTATTAGTCGGCAAATCAAGAAACGACATCAACAACAAATATTGCTGCAGGATAATCAACATCGACTCGAAAATCGAAAACATCGGTCGAATCGGTAAGCCTTTACTTACTAATTCTGCATAACGTGGTAAGTAAAATTGGAGAAGTTTAGAGAAAAATTTTGCTTCTTGGTTTCTATCGTTCAAATAAGATTTCGAATGGGCAACTTCAAAAACGAGGGGCTTTCAATTTTTAATGCAGTTTCTGCATAACGCGAGTTCCAAATTATATCGGAGTTCATACAGTATCAAAAAAAATCTAAAATTTTCAAAACTTTTCAAGCGGAAATGTTCGAAATTTGAAAATAAAGACAACAATCTAAGCATTGAATTTCCAGAATGATGGTGGCCATGGTCGGTGGTCTGGTCTTAGCCTGGCTCCCCATGAACCTCATCAACTTGATGCGAGATTTCGACGCTTCTCCCGACCGTTTCTCCGACTGGTATTCCCTAGTTTTCGCCGGCTGTCATGTGGTCGCGATGACTTCGGCTGTCTGGAATTTCGTTATCTACAGCTGGTTCAACCTGCAGTTCAAACAGACCCTGCTTCAGGCCTGTAATCAGCATACGAAGCAGAGCGGTTACAATGTCGTAACGAGGGCCAAGTCCGTGGCCACGGAAGGGCCAGAGTTTTAGGACATCCAAGAATTTGATAACGGTTAATTTATGACAGTTGTGAAGAGATTTATGACGTCATAAAGATATCTATGACGTCATCATTCAAGTCATTCCAGGCCAGGGATTTAAAACACGATTTCTGAGTCACTGAATCAGCCGCCAGTTAGGTGTGGACATAGGAAAAAATCGATTTTGAGTTTTTCATTTCAAAATGACCGGAGGCATCCTACTAGCATATTCCCGACACATTTTTGCCCAATTCTCCCGTTAACCTACTGTAATTTACAAAAGTGTGATTTTACAGTAATCTGGTATTACTCAAAAAATACGCATCGTAAAGGGTTAAAATCAGCAGTGTATAGGTTCTGGCATCTTTTGATTACAATGGAAGTCGATTTTTGGCGATTGGGTTACTGTAACATAGCAAAACCTTTGTTCGGCCGCATAAAATCGGGCATAAAAAATTTTTTTCTGAAATGCCACAGCTGATTTTTACATATGTTAATAAGCATAAAATTCTGCTATATAAACGTTAAAAAAAAGTGTAAAAAACCATAATCCAATTTTCGTGGTATATTGGATTTTGTCAAAATTTGTAATCCGAAGGTCCCGGGTTCGATTCCCACTGGACGAAAAATTCGAAAGACCGCATAAAACTTTAAAAAAAACAATTAGTACAGGTCAGTCAAGAATATTTAAGTCATGCATAATTATATCCAAGGGAATAATGTAAATTTTAAAGCACTTTTTGAAGATAAGATCATAATTTTGCTTTCAGTGGATTTTCGAACAAAGTCAGTTGCGGAAAATCGGTAAAAGTGAAATATTTGAAGTTTTCAAGCATACTGAATCTAACGAAAGGGTTTTTTCGAAACCAAGATTACTGTAACATAGAAAAATATGGCTTCGGCCGCTAAAAATCGGCCGCAAAATTTTTGTTTCTCAACGCACGCTGTTAGTAACCCAATTTTCGGAATCAGCATAAAATTCTGCACTAGAGATATTTTTTACCGTATTTGAACTCTATTTTTTGCATTTCACAACTTTTCTACACTTGCATCGAAAGTTCCAAGATCATAAATCTTGCACAAAAATTAAAAAATTTTTTTTTGAGTTTTTGGCCTGAAATTAATCAAATTCATGGCTAAAGTTTGACCTTAAACTATTTGTCTCTAACCCTCTCGTTAACACAGTTTTATTTACAATTTTCAAATTGAAAAGTAATTTCCCACAAAATAAAACTTAGTGCATAAAAGACTGTTTCTTGGTTGTGCCTAGAGCAGAATTTTATGCTGATCACGAAAATTGAATTACTTACTGCGTGCGCTTAGAAACAAAAATTTTACGGCCGATTTTTAGCGGCCGAAGCCATATTTTTCTATGTTACAGTAATCTTGGTTTCGAAAAAACCCTTTCGTTAGATTCAGTATGCTTGAAAACTTCAAATATTTCACTTTTACTGATTTTCCGCAACTGACTTTGTTCGAAAATCCACTGAAAGCAAAATTATGAACTTATCTTCAAAAAGTGCTTTAAAATTTACATTATTCCCTTAGATATAATTATGCATGGCTTAAATATTCTTAACTGACCTGTACTAATTGTTTTCTTAAAGTTTTATGCGGTCTTTCGAATTTTTCGTCCAGTGGGAATCGAACCCGGGACCTTCGGATTACAAATTTTGACAAAATCCAATATACCACGAAAATTGGATTATGGTTTTTTACACTTTTTTTTAACGTTTATATAGCAGAATTTTATGCTTATTAACATATGTAAAAATCAGCTGTGGCATTTCAGAAAAAAATTTTTTATGCCCGATTTTATGCGGCCGAACAAAGGTTTTGCTATGTTACAGTAACCCAATCGCCAAAAATCGACTTCCATTGTAATCAAAAGATGCCAGAACCTATACACTGCTGATTTTAACCCTTTACGATGCGTATTTTTTGAGTAATACCAGATTACTGTAAAATCACACTTTTGTAAATTACAGTAGGTTAACGGGAGAATTGGGCAAAAATGTGTCGGGAATATGCTAGTAGGATGCCTCCGGTCATTTTGAAATGAAAAACTCAAAATCGATTTTTTTCTATGTCCACGGCTGATTCAGTGACTCAGAAATCGTGTTTTAAAACTCAAGATTTCGTCCAATTGTTGTAAATATTCAACTATAATAAATACTTTATCAAATTATCACAATTGCAATTGGGAATTGATCAAAGGGACATGTAAAAATGAGAGTTACTGTACAGCGAACTCATGGATAGCAAAGTAATTTTAAAAGAAAAATTTGGCCCGGATTTTAGACAGAAAACTGATTTTAGGTCCAAAAACCTTTTCTGAAACGCCCAAATTTGCAATCCAGCTACAGTTTGCCGCACAGAGACTTGACTTAGACAAAACATTAAGTGAAAACTTTAAATACGAATTCCTGAGATCACAATTCGTTCTTATCCTTCCTCGGTTTCTTTGGATCCTTCTTCTCGGCCTCCCTTCTCTTATTTTCTTCATATAATTCCTGTTGCTTTTGCTCTTTTGTCTTGAAGTACGGATTCACAAAGCCCTCCGGCCTTGGCAAAACCTCCAATTCGATCTTGGCGATCTCGACAATCTTCTTGGTATCGTCATCATAAAGGTCCATTTTGTCTGAGAAATCCAAACCCCATTCAACCAGCCCTTTGAACTTCTCGTTCTCCACAAATTCTTTTTTCATTCGCTTCGGGAAATTGGCAACCGCTTCCGCGAAAAATGCAATATTCTTCACAATGTTGGTAACGGCCTCTTTCAACGATTGTTTCTGTGGAATTTCGTGAGCTTTTGGGGTGTAGCCTTTATCTTCTACCTCCTTCTTGGCTTTCTCACCTTCTTGAGAGAGTTTTTGGATGTAGTTCTTGAGAAGTTTCACACGATCTTTGTTGTTGGAGGTGTTCTTCAAGGTCAAAATGCCCCTAGATTGCTCTTGACGGGCGTGACGGAACAGGACGTGAACTGAAATTGAAAATGAAAGGTCCTTATAAAGGATCTACCAAAATAAGAACAAGTTTTTACATTATCTATAACAAACGATGTCCAAAACCCTCTCAAAGCAAGCTAAAAATTGGCTACCTTGTTATTAAAATAACCACTCTGGGGCAAGGACGTTAGTAGATGAAATTCACCATATTTTGAAGTGAATTCATCAATCTATTCTCCTTCTCCTCATCAGATGGGTCCTCCTAAACTTTGAAAGCAAAAATTGAAACCGTCCCTCAAACAGAAAGAGATAAACTCACATTGAGCAAGCTCGGCATTCTCCTTATGTTCACCATGAACAGATTTTACATCAGTTGACTCTTTCTTTCCATGATCTCCATCTGAAATCGCAGCAAAAGTCGCCACAAAAGCAACTCCAGCCAAAAGCAACACACATCTCATCGCGTTTACCAAAAAATGATATTTATGACACGTCAAGATAACCGTTTATGGTCAAGAAAATGCACTATCTTCCTCATGAATCAAGAACTTTCGACAAATATTTGCTCGGCCGCACCTTTTTGTTCCGCAGGCTGCAGACAAGCTGCGCCCGATAACTTTTTACAATTAATTTCGTGCGAGCTGCGCCCAAAGTTAGGTATTTCTCTCAAAATGTTTTAGATTTTTGGTATTTTCTCATGTATTTTAGGAAGATTTACAATAGTTTTGATGTGGTTTACCCCCATTTTTGTCAGGTTTTTGCATTGAATTGTTTTAGATAATTTGAGCTTATTTTTTTATAATCCTGTAACGATTATAAAAATGTGTGTATACCTAAAATTCGATATGTCGGTAAAAACTTACGTGCACCTACTTTCAGGGTTAACAATGGCGTCTTTGTACAATTTCAAGAAGATAACGATCGTCCCTTCGGCGGCCGATCTCAAGAATATTGTTTTGTCCAAAACACAACGTAAGACGCCCACAGTTGTTCACAGACACTACTCCATCAGTCGTATACGCGCGTTCTATGCCAGGAAAGTCAAGTTTCTTCAACAGACTCTTCATGATAAACTCAGCGAGATTCTGCAACAATTCCCGAAGATGGAGGTAAAATAATTTAATTTTTCTTTATTCTTTTATGTTTAGGATGTGCATCCCTTTTACGCTGATTTGATGAACATTTTATACGACAAAGACCATTACAAAATTGCCTTGGGTCAGATGAATACGGCGATGCATCTCGTTGATGGTATTGCCCGCGAATATGTCCGATTGTTGAAGTATGCCGACAGTTTGTACAGATGTAAAATGCTCAAGAGAGCGGCCCTTGGTCGTATGGTCAAGTTGTTGAAGCGACAGAAGAGTAGTTTCGATTATTTAGAACAAGTTCGACAACATTTGAGTCGTCTACCGTCTATTGATCCTAATACTCGGTAAGGAGGTTTAATGCATTGTTGTTTGATATGGTACGAGCTAATTTGTTGTCTTACTTATGTCGCTTGATGGAAGGTTCAAGTATTTTTATCCAATCAAACTTGTATTTCTCATGATTTCAGTACTTTAATCCTGTGCGGTTTCCCCAATGTTGGAAAGTCATCATTCATCAACAAACTGACTCGAGCTGATGTCGAGGTTCAGCCTTACGCCTTCACAACCAAATCACTTTATGTTGGACACTTGGATTACAAATATTTGCGCTGGCAAGTCATCGATACTCCTGGTATTTTGGATCAGCCTTTGGAGCAGAGAAACACAATTGAAATGCAGGCTGTTACTGCGTTGGCCCATTTGAAGGCTGCTGTTGTATTTATGATGGATATCTCGGAACAATGTGATCACACGATCGAAGAACAAGTTCAACTTTTCGAGAGTATAAGACCTCTCTTCAGCAACAAACCAGTCTTTGTTGGATTGAACAAAATTGATATTCTGAAGCCAGAACAGTTGCCAGAAGAGAAAAGAGAGGTTCTCAAAAAGCTTGAGGAGGATCATGTACCAGTGATCCCGTTGAGTACTGTTTCTGAGGATGGAGTTATTGAACTGAGGGATAAGGTTAGATTTTTAGATTTTTTGTCTACTTTTAGATTGCCAACCATGGGTGAACCTAAATTGATGTTTTTAGGCCTGTGACACATTGATGGCGCACAGAGTTGAGAGAAAACTCCAAACCAAGACTGTAAATTCAGGCCCAATTAGCCGTCTCTTTGTGGCTTACCCAGAACCCAGAGATGATAAGGTCAGAGCTGCTTTTATTCCACCGAAAGCGGTGGAAAAACAAAATCAGAAGAAAGCCGCGGCCAATGGAATGGAAGTGGATCTCTCTGAATTTAGAGATGAGAGAACCAGAAAGTTGGAAAGGGAGATTGAACTGGAAATGGGAGACAAATATGTGTTGGACCTGAAGAAAAATTATTTGTTGAAAAATGAGGATGAAAAGTACGATATTGTGCCGGAAATTTGGGAAGGGCACAATATTGCAGACTTTATTGATCCAGAAATTTTGGAGGTAAGAGATTTTTATAGTATGCTTGATATCAACATTAAATTTTGAGTTTTTTTTTTGTTTGATTATTAATATAATTATTCCAGAAGTTCAAGAAGCTCGAGGAAGAAGAGAAACTCCGCATCGAAGCCGGCTTCTACGATGAGGATCTGGACTCGGATGATGAGGAAACAAGAGATTTGTTGAGACAAGCAGACAAGATTGAAGAAAAGGAAAAGTTGCTCAGAATGGAACACACTCTGAAGAAGGTCGACAGACCTCAAGTGTCGAGAAAGTTGGTCAGGAAGCGTGAGAGGACAATAACACAATTGGAAGATGAGATGGGATCACTGGGAGTCGACCTGAAGAAGAGAAAGATGGATAATTTGAAGGCCGCTAGTGAAAAGGTGGCTCGAGGAAAGAAGATGAAGGTCGGAAGGTCGTTGTCCTTGGAGCCGAAGAATGCCACACCAAAAGATCAGCTTCTTACGGATTTGGAGGTGAGATTGGAAGATTTTTTTATAAATCCTAACTTTATGTTATTAAATATTATTTTTTCAACGCCTCAAGGTTTACCCTAGGGTAAACCTTGAGGCGTTCTTGATCAAATTTTGCTTAGTGCAATATAATTTCTGATCTATTTGGGGTACAATCTAATACCATTGCCTTTCAGCTCCGCGAGAAATCCAAGAAGGCCGGTCGCCGCGCCCAGAAGCCATGGCAAGGAGAGGCCCGCAAAGGAGAAGCCGATCGCCGAATCCTCGACCAAAAACCCAAGCATCTGTTCAGCGGGAAACGAGGAATGGGCAAAACCGACCGCCGTTAATCCTTTATTTGTTGTTTTTTCATTGTTGCCAACAACGTCGTTGTTCTTTGTTTTTAATAAACGTTATGTTATGTTTAATATAATTTTTGTAGAGTCATTTTGAGATTTGGTCGAAACTCTCCGATAATTACATTTTGAGTGAGGTTTTAGAGTAATTGCTATAGTGTTTTTTGTAAAGATGGCCGAAGAAAAAGTTAAGAAAAGGAAGAACTCGGAGAATGGGGAGATTCAGATCAAAAAGAAGAAGTTAGAAGGGAAGCCCAAGCTAAATATAGTGGAGAAGATCAGAGCAGCGACAGGAACTCCTGTGGCCGTTAATGGAGATGATTCCAAGAAAAAGAAGAGACCTTGGAGACAAGCGAACAGAAGAAAAGCAAAAAGACAAAGAAAAATTGATGAAGGAATAATTACAGCCGGTAGGTTAACACTTTTGTTGTTTTTTTTGGCTTTTAGAGCAGTATCTAAAGGAGTTCATAAGTTAAGTTATGCATGACGTTATCCTTCAGATGCCCCAATAATCTCGACGCCAAGGCCTGAAGGCGAAAAGAAGAAACGAAAGAAGAAGAAAAAGACGACAGAAGAGGAATCAGAGGGCGCTGAAGTTGCTCCGCAGCAAAAACCGGGGCCAGCGGAGAAGAAATCAAAGAAAAAACCGACAGAAGCGACATCAGAGAATCTGCAAGAGAAATTAGCAGCTTCTCAGTTCAGATTCCTCAATGAGCAGTTGTATACGAAACCTTCGAAGGATGCTGTCGAGATATTCAAAGCTGATCGGGCGAGTTTCCAAGCTTATCACAAGGGATATGCGGCGCAAGTCAAGAAATGGCCGATGAACCCCTTGGATAACATCATCTTGGATCTGCAGGTGGGTATTTTATTTATTCTGTGTGGAAAAAGAATGATAAGCTTACAGGGGAGGTACCCCAAGTTTGACGCTGGGGTTTGGATGAAAAATTTTTACTTACAGGAACTACCAAAAGGTACCAAAGTCGCAGACATGGGATGCGGGGAAGCTTTGATCCATCAGAAGCTAGGATCTCATCTGGATGTTCAGTCTTTTGATTTGGTTGCTGCCAATGACAATGTGACTGAATGTGATATCACAAAAACACCATTAAAAGATGGCTCGATGGATGTCGTTGTATATTGCCTAAGTTTAATGGGAACTAATCTTGGCGATTTCATCAGAGAAGCAAACAGAGTCCTGAAAATTGGGTAACTTTGTTATTCATGATGATTTTTGGCAATTTTGAAGTAAAAACGTAGAATAATCGGTAATTTTAGAGGGAAACTGAAGATTGCCGAGGTTTTGAGCAGATTCCGACATGTCAAGAACTTTATCAAAGCAGTGGAACAAATGGGATTTGAGTTGAAAAAGAAGGTAACAAGAGATATGGTTAATATTAATATTTAATTTTCTTTTTGTAATCTAAGGTTAATTTTATAATTTTAGAGAGACCTCAAAGACTTTTTCGTTCTCTTAACGTTCAATAAGACCGGAAAAGTGAAGCAAAAACGACCAACCGGCCTGATTTTGGAGCCTTGTTTATACAAAAAGCGATGAGGATGAACTGCTGAATGTTTTTGTTGATTTTATTGTTATTCCAATAAATAATTGTTGAGATTCTGGTGTAAGTAGAAGGTTGAATACCTAAAATATTGAAAAGTTTAGATCCTTGGGTTTGAAGTTATTTTTTGGGGATTTTTTGAGGTTTAATTGTAATAGGTGGCAGTAGATTGGAAGGCTCGAAATCTTGAACTTTCATATGATTTGAAGGCATGGGAATCTTGATTACATGATTTCGTAACCACTGCGGTGACCTTGTCTTGCTCATGATGGCCATTTCAGGTATGACCATGGATTTGGGATGGCGTCGATTCAATTTCTTCGAGAAAGAAGACGTCCCAGATCCAATCGACCCTTCGCAGCCATTTTCTGCCTTCAAGGGGCTTAATCTGTCCTTCAGAGAGGTTGGAGATGGGTTTGCTTTGCTTGGAAATACTGATGGAATGATTTTTCGAGTCGAAAGAGAACTACAATTACAAGTCTGGAAAGCATATCAGAAAAGTTTGAATGGGTTTGCATATCAGAAAGGATATTTGGCTACTGTTGGGGTGAGTTTGGAGGGGTTTGAGTTGGGGATTGGTGCGTTTGATGGTAAGTGGCGATACGAAATGCGGTCAAAATGTATGCAGGGGGCTAAAATTGTATTTCTGGAGACCTTTAAGGCACGAAGTTGCCGTTGTTAAATTTGTTGGGTCATAGTGCAAGATTTATTTGAGATTTTTTATTACACTAGGTGATGATTTTAAAGAAAATTGGTCTTTATTGCTGCCACGTTTTAACCTCTGCATAAAATATTTTGAGATGTAAACTCCCTATTTTTTATTTACAGGCCGATGATGATACCTCAGGTTACATCGTGAAGCTCTGGAATATGAATTCTTGGAGCGAAAACGAGCCCCATTGCCTGATCCAATCCAAGCTGGCCCTTGGAAAGTCGAAAATCTCGGTCCCCCCTATTTGCATTGCGTTGGCATCATCTGTAGACCTCATTTGTGTTGGTACCAAAGATTCCACGATACTATTTTATCACGGTGACCTGATCAATGACAAAAAATTTATTTGGAAAAATCTGGACAACTCCGCAGCGAGTGGGGATCTTATTGGGCTGGCAGTGGATTCTCGGCCCAATATCCATATAATCTTTGTCATCAAAACAGTAACCGTTACAAGTTTTTTATTGGAGAATGGAGCGGTTGTCAGAAAAGTAAGCAAATTGATTTTTTATTGACATTTTTTTTTGAAATTTAGGTAAATCATGATGCAAAGGGATGCGAAAAGGATTGCTTTTACTTCAACAACTCTGATAATTCACTTATCTTGGCTAATCGGGATGTAAGTTTGCTTTTCTGTTTAGTGTATTAGTTTAGTATAAAGTAATGTGAAATTTTTTCTTTGATTATCATAACTGCGATTTAAAATACGGTAGTTGTGGTCTTTGTCGGTGTTTTTAATTGTTTTTACTCAGCTTTTATATTGTTGTGTATTCAGATGGTCTATTTTTACGATGCGAGTAACGTCCTCGAGCCGGGAAACGAGAAGGGCCAATGCTACGCCCTTGCTAGAGGCCTAGACAAGGTCCAGATTGTCAAACACAATCATTACGTCGTCCTACTTACCCAGAAACCAGCAGTCATAAAGTAGGTCTCAATTGTAATATAATGTTTTTTATTGCTATGCTAAACTAATATTTTAGGTCCTCGGAGAACGCGACGATGTGTGTGCTAAACATCTACGACGTCGAATTCAAATACCTGGCCTTCCATTATCCCATCCCAACTGATTGCCAGATATTTATTTTGGATGACGTCATTTTTCTCCTTTTATCCGACGGAAGGTTGATGAAAATCATTGAAAAGCCTTTAATAGAGAAACTGGAGAGTTTGAAAAAGAAGAATCTCTTTGATGTCGCTATAGGGTAAGAGTTGTCACCATCTAAATGCCATTTATATTACTTTAGACTAGCTAGTCGCCATAAGTACCATGATTTGGCAAATATTTACGTGAAATACGGGGATTATTTGTATGCCAAAGGAGACTTTGAGAACTCATGCAAACAATATATGGAAACACTCGACGTAATTGAGCCGTCTTATGTAATTAAAAAGGTAACAAAATTTTTGCGTTTTTTTGGTAGTTTGGAATTTCGTTTGAAAATTTTCGATTTTTTAGTTTGTCGATGGGTCCAGGATCCCTCAATTATGCGCATACTTGGAGCATCTTCATAAAAAGAAAGTTGCGAATGGGCAGCACTCAATCTTGCTTCTCAGCGCCCTTATAAAATCGAATAATCAGGAAAAAATCTTGGAGTTTGTGGAAAACTCCCCAAAAATCAATGAATTCGATTACCCCACGGCAATTCAGATCCTACGAGAGGCGAAATTGAGCGACATTGCACTCAAATTGGCTAAAATTCAAGGCGAATTGGAGCTGTATTTGGATATTTTGATCACTGACTTTGCCGAATTCCCCAAAGCTATCAAGTTTATCGGGCAGTGCAATGTGGATGATAAAATGACATTCCTTACGAATTATGGGACAATTTTGTTCAAGGAGGACAGGAAAGCGGTCACAGAAATGATCAAGCAAGTGGTACTGGAAAAACGTGAGAATTTTGGAATTTTTGGGGGGTTTTGCCTGAAAAAAGAAGTTGGATATCTTTTGTTTCAAGCTTAACAAGATTTTTTTCTTTACATTCTGGACTTCTTTTTTAATTTTTATCATCTTTTTTCCTACTTAAATTTTACGTTTAGCCGATGTCTCCAAAGCCTTGATCCGTACAGTCTTAGAGGACGGAGAATGCCTCGAGGAGATTTTCAAGAACCCAACTGGATCCGGAGTCCTCTCCCCACAAGATTCAGCCACTAGTGTCGCCCTATTAGAACATTTGATATCCAAAATGACGGACAAGGAAAAGAAGGACCCCAAAAAGTTGGATCAATTGTATGATTTGATCCGACCTGATGTTGTAACTGATGCCATTCAACTTGGAAGACAATATAATGTCCCAGCATTAGTAATCCACGTTTATCGAAAGACTAAAAAGTAGGCGAAATATAGTTTTTTTTTTTGAATTGAGATGACTTGACCTAAATTAATGTGTGCATTTCAGAACAGAAGATTTGTTGAGGTATCTTCTACAAGAAGGCGATCTCGAGAACGTAATCGAAATGTGTGATGAGAGATTATTAAAAGATATGTGGATCGAATTGATCACTCATGTGGCCAGAAAGAAGGACCTGAACCCGGAAGATCTGATTAAATTGCTTGATAAGTGAGTTCAAGAGACGGGTAAATTTATGTCTGTTAGCACTTAATCAAGTAAATTCATCCATCACAACAAAATATTTTTGTTATTTATAGTAAATAATACGTTTAATTTCAGAGCAAAATCCGCAAATTTCGTCCATCCACTGGTTGTCCTAGAGATTCTGGCTCGAAACGACAACCTAAAAATTGCTGATATTCTAGATTATATTGTCAATTGGCTGGAAACTCAGAATAAATTTGTAAGCAAAAGTTTTATTTTTTGTTTTTATACTCCTTTAGATTGATGAACACGAAAAGTTAATCGAAAAAAACGAAGCCGAAATTGAGGAGATGGACAAAAAAGCAGATAGTTTGGAACATGGGTGAGATTTTACAGAATGTCAAAAAGATTAATTTGAGATTTTTTGATTGTGAAATAATTCGTATTTTAGAGTCCAAATATTCCAAATCAGCAAGTGCTCGGCCTGTGATGCCCCCTTAGCAGTCCCAGCCGTCCATTTTGTCTGCAATCATTCATTCCATCGTCATTGTTTTGAGTCGTTTTCGGATGGTCAAGAAGAATGCCCAGTCTGTGCTTCGGCCGAGAGTCAAGTGGTCCCAACCAAACGAGGATCTAACGGAATATCTCATCTGACATTCTTACAGGAGGTGGGGATTTTTTTGACGTTTAGAAAAAGAATGGGCGGGAAAATTCCTAGGACATTTTAGAGCTAAGAAAATCCGGGGGTCTTGAATTTTACTTTATTTTTAATTTTTATCCATTTTCTTTCAGCTGCAAAACTCAGACGACGCGATCAGCCTCATTGCCAGCTATATTGCTAAAGGCGCTTTCGAAGCTTCGTGATTCTACAGATTCCTTGAGTTGGACTTGTAACAATTTCCTTATTTATTTCCCACAGTTTTATGATCAAAATTTTATATAAAAAAATTCCATTGTGATATGTAAAATAAAATGTAAATTTACAATAATTAGGACTCGTATAATTACAATAAAGATCTTGATTTGGTCATAGGTCTAGAGGCTGAGTTGTTGTAGCCTCTCTTGGATCGATTTCTCGACGAAAAGCTCCTTTGGCTGCTCCCAGGGGAACTGGGAGTGGCCGAAATGCCCGTTTTCGGCTGTTTGCTGGTAGATCGGCCGCTTCAATCCGAGGTGTCTGGAAAGAGAGAGGATTAGTTGGTGAAATACTTGGTTAAGGATTAAAATTTTTCCATGGTAAATCGGATTTTTGTACGACAGATTGCAAGAATCAATGTATTTTTGTTCCAAATGTTGTTATCATCATTACAAGAGAAGAGAAAAAAGGTGAAACTTACTTAATGAGCATACCAGGCCTCAGATCGAAGTTGTCATTCACCACCTTCAACAGTTCCCCTTCACTCAATGGGGAAGTTCCGAAGTGTGAGACCATAATGCTCAAAGGATCCGCCACTCCAATGGCGTAACTCACTTGGACCAGACATCTTCGGCACAGACCCGCCTTCACCAGAGATTTGGCCACCCATCTGGCCGCATATGCTCCACTCCGATCCACTTTTGTGGGGTCTTTTCCGGAGAAGGCGCCTCCGCCATGTGCTCCCCAGCCTCCGTACGTGTCGACGATGATTTTTCGACCGGTCAGACCCGCATCTCCCATCGGACCGCCGACCACAAAACTGCCGCAGGGATTCAGATGGAGTTTGGTGTCCTTGTAGAGATCGGCGGGGATTACTGTTCGGATGACGTGCTCCGTCAGATCGGAGCGAATCTTTTCCAAAGTGACATCTGGAGAGTGCTGAGTGGAGATTACAATGGTGTGGACGCGGCGGGGAATGCAAGCACCCTTGTCGTAAACGTATTCAATGGTCACCTACAAAGTGATAAGGGTAATTTGATTAAAATCAACCTTGATGGCACGGAGGAAAAGGGTCACTCTCCTCACAAAAGATGTTTTTTTTCAAATCGCTTTATGACTTTTGATCTAATCAGCTGTTTCCATGAAAATTGACCCTGTGTATGATCACGGAGAATTCTAAAAAGGTGGTCTAAAGAGTAGGAATCATCGACTATTATTTTCAATTTTTGTAGGTTTACAAATAATCTTTTTCATGGAAATTGAAAAGTGAAAAGATCAAATTTTGGAGAAAGAGTTATAAGTCATTAAGATTACATAAGATGGGAGTTGTCGGAATTCGTGAGAGAGTGGAGGATGATTAGGATCGGTTAGAGAGAAGGATGTATTTTTTAAAAGGTTGCTCTTTTAGTAACCTTGTAAAATCTCCAAAGTGGTGGCAAAGATTTTGGATATGTCTTCGAGCTATTATCTTCACCTACCTGAGTTTTGGAGTCGGGTCGAGCCCAAGCCAAGGTCCCGTTCCTCCTCAATTCATGTAACCTTGCGTTCAGTTTGTGTGACAAGACCAGCGTCAATGGCATGGCCTCTTCCGTCTCGTCTGTCGCATATCCAAACATGATTCCCTGATCTCCAGCTCCGACATTTTCTTCGTCTTTGTCCACATGAACTCCAGCCGCAATCTCGGGGGATTGTTGTTCAAGCGCGACCAGAACATTGCAAGTCTTGTGGTCGAAGCCCTTGCCAGAATCGTCGTAGCCAATCTTTTTTATGACGTTTCGAACCAATTGCTGATAGTCGATCTGAGCCGTGGATGTGATCTCTCCGCAGAGCATGACCATTCCCGTTTTGGTCACCGTTTCACAAGCAACTTTGGCTTCAGGATCGACGGAGAGGTGGGCGTCGAGGACGGCATCGGAGATCTGGAATTGTTTGGGGTCAGTGGGCAAATTCAATAAGAAAATTACGACAACGAGGCAATAAAATACCAAGAAATATTTTTTGTAAGCTAAAAATGTCGGAGAAATCTTCAGAATTATAACGCAATTTGCGGAATTTGTGGCAAGTTTCATTAAAGTCAAATGGATTTCAATACATCATCTGGAATGTATCCATTACACCACATGTTTGAGTATTTTTCAAAAATTTTCTCTGACCCCCAAAAGAAACTGATTGCGCTTATCTCACGTTTCGATGAGACAGCCCGCTAAAGGACATTAATTATTGAGAAAAGGACGATGTCATCAACATGACGCAATAAAGTTTTTTGATCGGGGAACGTCTTAGAACTTTTTAAAAACCAACAGTTTTGTCGGGTTTACAAAAACGCTCGTCTTTTTTTTGTCTAGACATTTTAATGTTTCGTTTTGGAAACTTTGCAAGCAGATTTGGGGAAATAGTTGCAAAACGACATTAATGACGGTAATATTAACAACGCAACCCACCTGATCACACATTTTGTCGGGATGCCCTTCGGAGACACTTTCAGAAGTGAAAAGAAAAGTGTCAGCAGTCATTGTGCAGTAGTCTGTGCAGTATCACCAACTGTGGGAATTGTGGCCAAATTTGGGGTCACTCCAACCCTAGAGAAATGAGCAATTAGCAATAGAAATACTTGGTATTATTATAGGAAATCAAAAAACGAGCTCTTTGAGTGATCAGACGGCGGAACGAAAATTTGATAAGAAAATATTCCAAAAGTTATATTTATTCCAAGTAAATATTCAAATTGCTGCCAATAAGAAAGAAATGGATAAAGACAAGTCAAATTTGCTGACAAAATGAAAACTATGGTAAAACCGTAGCATAAATAAGTGATACCATTGTTGCTCATAAAGTAACTGGGTTTTGGCCTTGGAGCAAATAGTAATTTCCAAAAAAACACCTTTTGATCGCGTAAACTAAAATTTTTTTGTTTTTGACAAACCCGATAACGAGCTCAAAATTAAATTTTCTAAACACCATTCTCTTTAAAAATCAGAGCGATAAATTAAGGCCAAACACCTTCCAATTAACATTAAATTCTTTCCCATAACTTCCTCAGCACTACCAAAGAAACCTTTAAAAATTGTCCCAGTAAAAGTAATCTGGTGCACCGAACGCGCCAAATGATTGCCCAGTTCCCCATCGAATCCACAACGTCGCCAATTTCCCTTTTAAAGACTTTTCGCGGGCTGGGCGGAGTCCGCGAGACATGTTCCGTTGATGATATGAACTCGGAGCGTCGGAGGATTGCATCAGATACGCCGAAGGTCCAGTTGATTTTGTTACAATTTGTGGATGCTCTGAACACTCCGGATTATTGCGTCAGATTGGGATCACAAAAGAAGTCAAAACATCTGGGGACACGGTGACTTAGACTAGGAGGGCTCCTTTCACGATCTTAAGGACATCCGGAATAGAATTGGGAAACGGAAGACTTTTTTAGAGCGAATTTGAATAATTTTTGGAAATAAAGAAGAAAGCCTAGCAAAAATTTGGGAAATAGAATGTAAAATACGCTAAAGGCGCTTAAAATACTTTGATGACACTAAAAAATTTTAAATAATTTTTTTGATCATTTGTCACAGGCTCAAAAGATTAGGTCTTTTCGCGCCTTAAATTGCGTCTTTTTCGGTTCAAATTGATCGTAATCTCCTCACTGTAATCAAAATATAAAATAAAGATTTCTGCGGCTATGGTGGCACACAGCTCTTCAGAATCGTCCATTCGAATAAAAAACATGTCGCATATATTTTTTTACCGCCCTGTTACACAAAACTCATTCAAATTTCCTTGTATTTTAGAGTCCTTTGACAAATACCGTGCGTAAAAATTGGTATCCTAAAGTGTCAAGAATTGCTGGTTTTAACAAAAAGTTTCACAACGCATGTCCCGCGTTTCGTATTTTCAAAAGTCAACCTTATTTTAGATAACAATCTGATCTTCGAGAACTCGAAGTCTCTCAAAACATTCGTCGTCATTCCCGGCCGGTTTTACGTTCACATCACCCTATAATATCAGCGATAAAAATCAACAAAAACACTAATAATAAGTAATCCTACTTTTCGAAAAATTCGTTGGATTTGCAAAAAACATTTAACTCAAAGAAATAAAAAAGTTAACTAACGAACAGACGCCGGTTAAAGATTACATTTAGATAACAAAAACCAGAAATGCCGTCAGCTATTGGGGTACCCTTGAAGAGACGCAAGATCAAGGGCAAATTGGGAATTGATAAGATGGGTTGATAAGTTCGGGAGAGGAAAGGCAGGGTCGGGGATTCCATACAAACGATTCCACAAAACAATATTGTAGATAGCGACGGAAAACTTAAAATGGATAAAAGTCGATGCTAGGAGATTGAAAAAACTTACAAATTAACAAAATAAAAAATGCATTGTTACAAGACATAACCGCGATTTTGAGCTCTGCTTTGCAGAGACAATCATCCTTTTTAGGTCGAGTGTTCAAAGCCGTTTTTCCCTCTGATCCACCTTTTAATTTACTGTTGAGGTTTGCTGTATCGTAATATGATGAGAATCTGGATGTCCCAAATATAAAAAAATATATAATTCATAATAATTTTTTGCACAAAATGTCCATATAATGGTGGTCATATAAGAATTAAGTTCGGTAAATTTTTCCAAGTTTTTCGAAATCAGTGCACAAAGTCTCAAGTCTGCACCGAAGACTTAAGTGCTTAAGTCAGCACCGCATTTCGGAATTCGGTGCTGAAAAAATTAAGTTGACGTCAATTTTTCGATTTGGGCGTCCACTTTTTTGTGCACCGAAAATTGCGGTTTGGGAAAACAAAATTCTTAGTTCTTATACATATGACCACCTTTATACATATATTCTGCACACGAGAACTACGAGTTCTGGAACATGTGCGGAAGACTTGTATGTAAATTTGTGTTAGCTGTCATCAAAATTTCAGTCTTGCATTACGAAAAAAATTTTTGTCATCGTGCCATATAAAATTTCTACCTTTGTTGACGCTCTATTTCGACATTGAATATCGCCAATGTGTTCTGTATTTTCTATTCTGTATCATACGACCGAACCTTCACTTCATTTCGCTCGCTGTAACACTCCTTTCAACCGAAGTTCTCCACGTGGTCGATCATTTTCTCGAAGCCCACTTTCCTCCTCGGTGATTTATTCTTTGCAGTCTTTACTCTGTCTCACATAAACACCAACGGAAATAAGGGGAAATATGATTAGTTAATCTGATTGTTTCTTGCATCATTACTCCACTCAATTTTAATTCTCGTTTTTGCTTCCACGCCGAAATCTGATGACGTTTTTGGTGGAAAACGTGGTGGAAAAGGTGGTAGATGAGTTTCGAGGTCATGAAATATGACGGTCTTTCTGAAGCCACAGCCATATTTAGGACAAATTGAGACTAGACGTTAGGAATGAGTTGAATTTTAGCTTGCGATTTGGAGGGATTTCGGAATTTTTATTTCGGAAAGACACATAATCAAAACTTTTCTGTGATTTTAATGCAAACGGACATTCAGTTCAAAGATAACATATCGCTTTGCAAAAACGGGATTTCCTCGATAAAGTAAAAGTCACCGTAAGCAAAAAAGAGGTTTTTTACAAAAAATATAAATAAACCCGACATGTCGCGACATTACAGATCCAACAAGCAAAGTTAAACTTCTTTCTGAAAAAAAGCAAAACAATCAAACAGCAGACACACCAAGAAAAAACATCAAAATCGAGCGCAAAAAACAAGAAGAATAAAATGTTAGGCACCCCATCCAATTTTTCAAAAACCCTCAACAAAATTGACCATTCTCGAAATCAAAAAAAATCTGAAAAAATCCTAGAAAGTACTTCTCGTCCAGAAATTTTATAATTTCGGCAGTTCGAATCCTTCTTCTCGCACCGTGCGGTCGGAAATCCAGGAGTGGCCCGAATCGCCGCCCGATGATGAAAGGTGATGGTCCCTGCAACGTTCAAGGATGGATTTATCAAATTTTTGTAATTTTTGAGGCCGCCAGTGGTATGGAGAAGAGGCATGTATACTTTTTGGGGACTCTTGAGGTCTGAGGGTGTGATCTTGAGTGTCTTGAGAGTTTAATGTGTTGGCGAAGATTTCTGATGGGGATGCTGAGGTGGATAAGCATGGGTTTTTGTGATGCGTATCTGGGACATGTGTGGTCTGAATTTGTGATTGTCTGGGTGGCCGATGAGTGAGATTGGCCGGAGGTTTGAGCGGATTGAGTTGAAGGATTGTCTGCCAGTGAGAATTAAGATTTTTTTAAGGGTTATATGAGCGTTGCGTGAATTGTTATTGTGTGTTTGGCGTGGTTGAGGGATCTAAGCTGAGTTTTGTGTCGTCGTCGAGAGAATGTCTTGCCGTATTTTAGGATACGATAATCATAATTTACTTAATTTTTGTTGATCTTTCGATTCTTTGCGCTTTCATTCCGCGATCTTGCGTCCTTTAGACTCGTTTTGGTTTCATAAAATTTATGTCATACTAACATTGCTTACTTTCAGGTTCATCTGATGTCACGTCACCTTCTCTATGGACTTCCCGCGGTTAATGGTTTTTTTTTAATTTCAGTTTTTCCAGATACATTCTTCAGTCAGATCCTGGTCTCCTGGAACTCTTGGGACCAACATTGGCATTCGAAATTTAGATAAGTACTTCTGTAGACTTCTGATGACATTTTACCCTTTTTGACCGTCATGAATGATTTTTTTTCAGATCTTGGCGCCTTTTTCGGACAGCTCCTGGACTATTAGATCTTCTTGTCTTGGAAATGGTGATCAACTTGGATTGGACCAGATCATTTTTTTCAGATTTTGGCAGGTTCTTCGAATCTGAAACTTCAACTTTGATCTGGAAACTCTTCGAGCTTCCAGATCCGACCCTTTAACTTGACTTGGGGATGGGCCCTTTTCAAATCAAATTTGCCAAAACTAACTTCTTTTTTTTCAGATGGACGACGGACCAGGGCCGGTGGGATCAATGGGAGAGATGGAGCGGGCTTCGACGTTAAGCCAACGTCGTCATGGAGGAGGAGGGGAAGAACAAGGAGGAATGGATGGCCAGGGGTTTCTTTCCGCGTTTGTCTAACCATTTGTCGCGTCGTTTTTTTTACAGATAGCTCAGCACCGTCGAAGACCCAGAGTAGATGGATGATCGTCAACAATGGCCAGGGTAAGAGGTAATTTTAGGGAATTATTGGGGGTGGGGGTTTTTATTTTATTTACAGACAGAACCAGCCGACCGATCAATGGACAACAGGAGCGATGGAACAACCGGATCAATTGGAGCAAATGGAATAAAATGGAACAAAGGTAAATTTGAATTTTTAATTTCCTTGGGATTAGCCCCTCCCCCCCCTCCCCCCTTGCTGGGAAAATTTTATGCATGCAATTGTGCCTGAACATGTATAATTACATGTACATCACAATGCATACATGTATATAAGACATTATGTCTTCTTGACTAAACTTGTATATATATATTTATCTATATGTATATGTGTTTGAATAATAATTTGTGTCATTTCAGTAAGCCAGCCAATCAGCCAAGCAGCCAGCCATTCTATGCCGTTATATGATTTCTTATATTATTATTTCTAATACTAATAAACGTTAATGAAAAGGGGGAGGGGGGGGGAGGGGGTTGAAAAGCCGTACTACGATGCTGTATTAAAGCATACTGTAATATTGTGCTGAATGTTCGTGGAGAAGCTGATTTTGCGAATCCATTTTTTGCACTTTGCCGTCTCCTAGTACGATTGTGTGTGGTACTCCTCGCCGTAAACTATATTCCAAGGTTCTTTAAAGATAGATTTACAGCTGATTCCGTCAATGCTTCCGGGCATTTACTGGCAATTAGACAAATCTCTTTTTTTCCTTGCCGTTCTTCAAAGAAGTGATGGGAATTACGGATTTTTGACCCAAAAAACGTTTGTGTTCTCGATTAAAGTGGAACGGGATGCCGCAAACTGTGCGCGAGAAGAGCTGAAAATAAAAGTTGACAAGATTCGGCGGCGTGTTCATCTCCTTTTGTAAGTGAGGGCGTTACAAGAAGTTTGAATGGGATTTCGCTTTCATGATCATTAGAGGAAAGGAGTTATGTAACCATTATTTCAAATGTTTTCGCATTAAGGAAGTGCCAGTTGCTTCTCCCTTTTCTTTTCTAACCGTAAGAATGCCGGTATTTTCTGCAAAACGCGATATAAAAATACGTGAAACGGTGTGCACCCACAACATTGTTAGCCCTGGAAAAAGTTTAAGCCTCTGTCGAATCAGTGAGAAGAAGCGCCATTTTTGGTATTTTTTAAGACCTTGAACGCTCTATTTTCAAAGTCTTTGTAATTCCGTCTGGTTAGAACGACAAACTCCAGTTCGTCAAGACGGTCGAAATAATTAGTCATCAGAGGCATCGCGAATTTATCAATCCGTTTCCCAAATCCAAAATAACAGCCGTCGAAAATCCGTTTTGAGCTTATTTTCGCCCCTCCAAAACCGGTAAATTAACCCAGTTCAGGATAATGGCGCGGCTTGCGAAAGGGCGCAGATCAAAAGTAAACCTTGTTTGTGTTAAGCGAACACTGATCTTGGCTGATCCCCTTAGGCTATTAGGATTGTTATTCACATTGAATTTCGCGATTTTTAAAAATTTCCGAGATTTCTTGAAATAAAGTTTGACTTTTAGGTGGATAAACGAGATGTTGAGGAGCACTGCACTAGCGGTGTTTGTGTTAGGCTGTTTTTGTAAGTTTTTGGAAGGTGATGATTTATATTTTTAAGCGAAAATTTATCTGCCAATTTTTTTGATTGTGATAGTTTAGGCTTATCTAATGCCATAACGCAAGAATCCCTGGAAGATGAAGACTCACAACAGACCAGACGAGGATACAAGGTAATTAGAATGTTTTTGGAGAGTTTTCGAATATGAGTTCTGGAAGATACAAAAGTTTTCTGAAGTCCTTTTGAACGTCAGAAAATTTTTGTTTAAAAAAGCTTGCTCTTATGGAGAGTTAAATCTTTGTAAAACCGAGCTCTTGACAACATCATATTAGCTTCAAATTTCCAGTTTCACAACCCGGTCCCAGCCACGCCACATTCTCCGTGGTTAAGTGGCCCAAATGAGAAGAAATACAGTTTCCATATTGGGCAGCAATCCTGGGTGGCTGCCAGGGAAATCTGTTTGACAAATAACGCTGATTTGGCGACAATCAGCAGCGAAGAGGAGCTGGAATGGATCTTGAGTCATTACAAGCCTCAACTCCGGCATTCAAAGGATAGACAAATCCAGGTAAAATTCAGGTTCATTTATGAATCTTGCTATATTTTCTTGGGTTTTTCCAAGGGCCCTGTTACGTGTAGTGAATTTCCAAATGCTATGGCAAAAATATTTTTTCGGAATTTTAGAATTACAATAACTTGAGAAGTTTCAGGTCGGTCTCTACGCTGAGATTGAGGAGGACGAGCCAATGAGGGAATGGAAATGGGTAACTGGAGAGGCCGTCAACTCGTCTATACTGTAAGTGTTTTATTGTCGCTTACTGTCGGTACGGAATGCAAACTATTTCTTAATTCTTCAGTCTTGAGCCGTTTCTGGTTGTGCTTTAGCTTGGTAAATGCAAAACATAAGCTTAGGAAACTGTAAATTTTATGTAACCAATTTCACTTTTCAGCTCTTGGGCATCCGGGGAGCCCTTCGATCACGCCAATGGCAAAGAACGTTGCGGTCTTCTGAACATCAACAGTAAGACTTTGGATGACGTGGATTGTGAGTTGGGTGGAAGTCCCCTCAGATTCTACAGATTCATCTGTGAAAGGACTTTCAATCAGCACTTGAAGGTATGCTCTTTTCAAAAAATTACAATTTTTCTGACAGTCTTCTATGATACGTATTAAACTTTCATTTTTTAGCACGAAGAGTTGAACAACCCCATGTGGAAGAAGCTGGAGGATATTTTGGTATTTTTTGGAATAAGCGACCGTACCAAGGCAAAAAATTCGAATTCCACAGATTCGAATGAATCTTTGAAAGCAACTCCACTTGAAGATGAGGATTATGATGAGAAAAAAGACTTGAAGAAAGTGAATGCAACTGAAATAAAGAAGGAGAGCAAAGTTGAGAGAGCTCCAGTAAAACCAGATGAAAAACCATTGAAAGATGACAAGATAGTCGAGGACAAGGACAAGAAATTGCAGGTGAGGGATTTTCGCCCATTTTACAAGGGAAAAGCTCGCAGTGCAAAGATTCTTATAAAACTTGGCAAAAGCTTTGGTTCAATTTTCGTAACTTAAAATCGAAATTTCAATTTTTTTTGACAAGGATACGAAGTTTTTATGATAACTGAGAGTTGCTCTTTGTACCCTTCACTTTCCAAACTCAATCAAACCTCTTACTTTTTAGTGTCAAATTTTAATAAACATTTTTTAGACCCATTCTCAAGCCTTTGCCGCCAAGACTATCGAAACTGCTCCAACCCGCGATGACTCTGATCTCCTGGTCATCACAAACCTTGAGCCCCTTCGCGATGCTGGCAAATTCGATGGTGTAACTGAATCCAGCATCCGAACAACCCGCCCAGACCCCCTCGCTCACCTTGCGGACACGCTGGAGCAGGCCGTTGAATCGGATGCTCCAGGCGATGATGATGCAAAAATGAAAAACTTGGAGAGAATCATAAATGCCGTACAAAAGATGGTCGGAGATGATGATAAGGACAAGGTGGGTTGGGAGACAGTGCGTGCACGAATTCACAGTGAAAAACGGCCGAAATTTGGGCCAACAATCGAGTCTGAGAATGAGAATTCAAATTCTGAACGGTCTAATTCTAATTCTGAGAGGTCTGACGATCCAACTTATAAGTCTGATAACGGCAATTCAAAGTCTGAAAATCCTAATTCGAAAACTGAAAACTCCCATTTCCCGTCTGAAAATCGCAATTCTAAGTCAGTCGACCCTTCTGATTCTTCCGAAGTCCATCATATTTCTCATCATGACTCTCATAGACATCCACACTTTAGTTTTCCAGATATTTTTGACGAAATTCTGGGTCCTATGTTACCCCGACCCTTCCGCCCTAGGCCTTTTGATAGACCAGAGCATAGAGACACGAGAAAATGGCAGCACCCTGACAAATCTCACCTCCAAAATCGTGAGATGAGCGAAATTAATAGACAATATGGCCAAAAAACGGTCGAAAGCACTACTTTGATTCCCAAAACGGGTGAAATAGAGGGTTCCGGCCAGGATATTGAGATCCCAATTGAAGTTTTCACTAAAGCCAAGGCTGAGGTTAGCACTACTAGGCCAAATTTAAGCAATATTGAGCCTCATTGGGTGGTGAGGAAGACTTTCTATGCTCAGCCCCATCAGAAAAGAAAGATCAAAGTGACGGAACCTCATAGAAACCCGGACAGGGAAACGCTCCCAGAATCCTTCGAATTCGATCGAGATGAGCCTGAGGTGCGGATTTTAAAACGCTTGGGGGGATTATATTCTAATTTATTTGGGATGCTGGCCCATGAGATGGACGATTTTGGTGCTTTTGATTAATAATATTCCCTAAAAATTAACTTATTTATGGTCATTAATAATTTGTTTTCGTCTATTGTAATCATTCAATGTTCTTAATAAAATTTCCGTTTTGCAGAATCGGCATTATTGAACCAAGTAATGACAAGAGTGTTTTTCAGCCTCAAGAGCAAACGACTAAAACGCCAGCGGAAAAGATCCAGTTTGTGGAGTCGAAACAGAAAACTGAAATTGAACAAAATGCAGTGGAGGCTACAGGTGTGTAATTTTATTTTGGACGAAACGGCGTCAATATTTTGATGACGTAAAAAAGATCCCATCGATTCATAGAAAGGAGTATGTTTAGGAAGCGCATTACTAAATTTTGAGTGCCTTTATCCCACAGCGACATACCAAGGCTTTCCTTATAGCAAAATTTCATTTTGACCCAAATTTGAAAAAAATCGAGTCTTTGTTTTACCGCAAAATAACTGCTATTTAAAAAACTTTGAAATTTACAATCTCCCACATTTTTGAGATTATCTTTTGCAGAGCCCGTAAATCCAACAGAGCAATTTCAAATCGCTCTAAGCCTCGATGAAGACTTCAAGCAAGCTCAGAAGGAACAACAAGCCCATCCAGGTGTCAACAGTGGAGATCTCTTGATAATTCCAAAATCCTCCGAAGAAATTGTTGGCTGTGGCGCTAAAAACTTAAAAAAGGAATCTACCGTTTCAACTACCCCATCGCCAGCTCAAATTGAAGAGAGGAATTTGCATATCAATGCATTTCTAAATAACCTTCGTGATCTACTGAACCGTTCCGACAGTACCGTGCTCTCCAATTTATTCGAAGCCAATTATACAGATTCGGCGGAAAATCTCGCTGACAAATTGGAAAGAGCTTCTCAGCTGGCTAGAACAACTCAAAGTGTCCCGCCTAGTCCTGAAGAATTAGAGAGATTGCGAAAAAATATTGAAAACGACGTGTTGAAGAGCATCGAGGAGCTGGGAGAAACTGAAGACCGTGAATTCAAAAGTATGGAAGTCGCAGAAAAGGACTTAGAAGCGATTGGAAGCGGGTTGGAACCCCCAGCGGAGAAGTTGATCTCACTTACACCAGTCGCACTGACAGCGCATCAACAAATTATAGTGGAGAAGAAAACAGAAAGTCCAGAAGAGGCGAATGTTAGCGGATACACTCCAAAGACAACTGTGGAGTTGGCCAAGGAAAAGAAAACAAAGAAATTCTTCGTGCTGTCGTCAGCAGAAGCCGCTGAGAATGCAGCGGAAACGGAGGGATTCTTGGCGAAGGTGAGTATTCGAATTTGAATTTTTCAAGAAATTGAAAGTGCGTAATCATGATTTCAGAATGAAGAAGAGAAGCCAGTAGAAATTGAGGCGTCCACAAAACAGACAGCAACATCTATTATCCCAGAAAGCGAGGAAGATTCTGCCGAAGCCATTGAAGGCTCAGGTCAAGCCCCAGTTGGAACAAGGAGAACTGAAGTGAAAGAACAAGGCAAACAACACGTAAGTCATCAAAAGAGTGATAAGAGTAAAGATAAGCAAGAGCGTAATTTTTGATTGAAACATAGCTAACTTGAAAATCGAATGTGTTTCAGAAAAAGCCCCGGCAATCGCTCTTCCCCGACCTTGACTTCAGTCTACTCAACAACAAAAAGCTCGCCGAGGAAGCCGCTGAAAGTAGTAAAAAGCAAAAAGCTCAAGCCGACGAAGCGTATAAAGCCTTGGCCAAGCTGGATCAAAACTCATTGGCGGCTCGAATCGCTGCATCAGAGGCCCAACGCAAGAAAGCCGAGCAAAAGACGGATGAGATAAAAGATCCCATCCAGGTCAAGAAGATTCAAGTCCAGCCAGCGTTGATGAAAAACAAGAAGCCGGAAGATGTTGCGAAGCAGCTGGAGAAAATGTTTTTTGATTGGAGCAATGGAGCGTTTGGGGTTCTCAACGGATAAATTAGTGACACGAAGCTCAAGACAGAAACTGTGCACCTGTATTTATATTAGAATTCGTAGAACTGTTAATAATAAAGATATAAGAGTGAAGATATAAGAACGCAAGAGCCATTTTCAAAAAGCACCCTGAATTTGCTCACTTTTTGGCTCGCAGGCGATTCTTTCATTTTGCTCACCGAAACGGCGAGCAAATTTTTCGCGGCGAGCAAATTTCTATTTTTGCCTCCCGCGGCGAGCAATTTTCTAATTTCGCCTGCCGCGGCAGGCTAGGGAAAGACTTGGCTTTGAGCCAAGTCTTTCCCCTTGGGTGGCTCTTCCCAGGGGTGGTCAGCAGACCCTATTTTTCCGATTTTCGGCCCGCGGCCCGGCCCGTCTAATTGACCGGCCCGGCCCGGCCCGTCTAGTCTTTTTCCAGGCCCGGCCCGGCCCGGCCCGTGACGGGCCTGGCCCGGCCCGGCCCGTGCAGGCCCGTCTATAGAGGGTTCTGCGAACTGCGCCCAGGCTCGGGATCTAAACTGAGGCAAAAAAGGCGTTGATCTAGCTAGTAAAGGATCAATGTGATAGTTTTGTGGTTCTATAATGGAACTAGAGACTTGTAAACGTTTTAGAACTTGAGAAACAGCAACTATAACAACATCAATTAATTTTCCCGGCGCGAAAACAATGAATGCCAACGGTTTGGCATTGTATTTTAGACGGGCCGGGCCGGGCCGGAAAAACCCCAGGCCCGCGGCCCGGCCCGGCCCGTGACGGGCCCGGCCCGTTTGTCAATTTCCATTTTTGAGGCCGGCCGGCCCGTTTGGGCCGGGCCGGACCGGCCCGGCCCGCCGACCACCCCTGGCTCTTCCTCCCAAAAATTTTTTTGTCAAGATTGCTATAAATTTCTTTATGGTGTACTCTACATGCATCGACAGGACAATAACTCCAAAAGTAAGTTAAATTATCCCTCTTTCTAAATATGCCATGATTTTTTGCATTGCATAAGCTTATCCTGGCGCATTTAGCCATTGTTGTAGGTATACAAATTTAGCTGAATGCTGTTCGTTCTTGCGATTCCATGAACGAAATTTAAGTCTTCCACGCAAAAGAACCGGCGTCGGGCCTGCTTCGTGCCAGAATTGTTTCAGCATGAAAGGATTTTTTTCTTGATTCGATTTTCGATATTACACTAGATACTTTTATCAAGTTGCAGGCAAAATCGAATGTTTTTGAAGTTTAAACCCGAATCTACAAAGGTGAGCCATTACTAAACCGTCCCCAACATAACTATTCTTTCAAACCCGGGTTTGAGATGTTTTAGGGCCTAAGTGATCAAGTATAACGTGGATCTAAAAAAAGTCCCAAATACCTCTCATACTGTTCTAAACATGCTTTAGATGAAATATGGTTTGCTAAGTATAAATACGCATCTATGGATACGTCAAAATTGTTCCATTCCTAAAATCGGAAAAAAATCAAAAAGTACCTAGTGTAATATCTAAAATCGAAGCAACAAAAAAATCCTTTCATGCTGAAACAATTCTGGCACGAAGACCCCGACGCCGGTTCTTTTGCGTGGAAGACTCTCAAATTTCGTTCATGGAATCGCACGAACGAACAACATTCAGCGAAATTTGTATACCTACAACAATGGCTAAATGCGCCAGGATAAGCTTATGTAATGCAAAAAATGATGGCATACTTAGAAAGAGGGATAATTTAACTTACTTTTGGAGTTATTGTCCTGTCGATGCATGTAGAGTACACCATAAAGAAATTTATAGCAATCTTGACAAAAAAATTTTTGGGAGGAAGAGCCACCCAAGGGGAAAGACTTGGCTCAAAGCCAAGTCTTTCCCTAGCCTGCCGCGGCAGGCGAAATTAGAAAATTGCTCGCCGCGGGAGGCAAAAATAGAAATTTGCTCGCCGCTTCGGCGGGGGCGAGCATTTTTGAAAGTTTGCTCGCCGTTTCGGTGAGCAAAATGAAAGAATCGCCTGCGAGCCAAAAAGTGAGCAAATTTAGGGTGCTTTTTGAAAATGGCTCTTGCGTTCTTATATCTTCACTCTTATATCTCAATTATTATATTTTTGATGAAAGGTCGCAACACTTGAAGGAGTGAAAATTTTTATTTTCCATTCCACACCTCGCGTTAACGCTTCCCTGTGAAAGTGGCGTGAACACTCAGTCTAGCCCAAATCATCTCTCACATTTGCGCGCAAGCATTTTTTGAATACCGACCTAAAGGATTTTTTAAAATTTAAAAACAGAAGAAAGAAACGAAACCTGTGCGTTTCCAGGTCAATGAGGGCCGATATCTGATAAAATCTCCCTTTCTTGCGCTGCTCTTGTCTGGATTTTACAAATTTGCCTTCGGCACTTTGTTTTACCTTAAAATGATTCAACGATTTCTTTTGTGGTTACTATGTATTTATTTTTTCATATACCAGTTGTCAGCTGCTGAATGCAATTCGAGTAAGTTTTTTTTTTCTTTTTGATTTGATTCACAAAATTATTTGCTTCCGTTATTAAAATACATGGGTTTCTTCAAAGTTTAGGTCAAATGTGCCCGCTCGGATGGAGTGTGCTTCGTCGTCCTGATGGCTCCGCCCACACTTGTGATCCCACAAATCCAACGCGTAGTAAATGCCCAAATGGACACACTTGTGTCGCTGCGAAATGTGGAATCAAATTCTGCTGCATTAATGACAGTGAGTTGCGATTTTAGGTGAATTAGATGTTACAAATTTACATAAAACCCTCTTTGTTAAAACTTTAAAAACCTCTTGGTGTTTCAGAAATGGCCAGGAAAATTGCCGAGAGAAAAGAACAAGAAGAGGTAGAGGAGGATGAATTATGAAATTAGAAAAATAAAGTATAATCACTTGATCGCTAGTAAACCCTTACAAAAATAATATCAAATTAATTGTTTGCAAACCAAAGTAATTACTACGTTAGTTCCAAGAAACATCAACAGCTGATCGAAGTTTCACTTCCACTTCCGTTGTTATGACACCAAAGTGAACGTGTGGATTGGATGACCGGCACGTTGAAAGGATAAACCCACGAGCAGAAAGAGCCCGATGTTCTGTTGCTTGGCAGCGTTTTGAATGACAATTTGAGGAAATTCCGTTTCAAAAACCTAATTTTACTATATTGGAAGAGAAGGGAGAAGAAAAAAGAAACGTTTTTTTCGCACTTTGGGTACTAAGTCGAGGTAAACGTACTCAAGGATTTTAATTATGCCACAATTTCTTCTTGGACCTTTAAGCTGCTTGCGCAATTCACATTTTTTTTGGACGACGCTGATACAAATCGAGATAAAAAATTTGTGGAGCATTTAGCAGATTTTTAGCCTAAGTTTTAAAGAGACGACCGTTGACAGATTCAACGATTTTCAAGAAGAAGATTCTCTTTACGAACATTCTTTACCCTTGTTCGTAAAGAGAGATTTCTCCGGCAACAAGCTTAATCTATGGCAAACAAATTTCATTGTTTTCAATCGTTATAAAAATCTATTAAAATAAACGACCATAATGCGTATAGAGCAACAGGACTCTTAACCATTTTAACGCTCCCTGTAACCTTGTTATTACTCAAGATTGATACCCACGGTTTATTACGCAATAAACCTGGCCTCTCGAGCATTTCCGTGCGGCCAGAAAAAGAATGTTTTCACCTTTCCTCATGTATAATGTATTGTGACTAATAGAAATCCCCCTTTTTAAACGATGTAGAACTATGTAAAAAGACCAAAACGAGTATCTACTTTAGGCTTTTTTGTGAGTAGTATGAATCAGAGCTTTGATGAGAATCTACAAACTACAGGGATATTATGCTAAGGTATGAGAAACAGCTGAACAAAGCTTGAATGAAGTAGGAAAAACCACCCTATTGAGTTTTAGGCAAAAAAATTGCTAATTCTGTTTCAAACTTGCTGTACATAGTACAGGGTGGGGCATCTTTGTGGCCCGATTTGAATTGACTATAACTTCTTTAGTTTTTGGCCAAATTTTAAAATTCTTTTTTTCCCTGAATCGTCAGCCAACCCCATTTTGTTTGATACCAAATATGTTATACATAGTAAGTGTATATCTACAGTTATTGGATTTATTCTTAGAGTTCATTTTTTCGATCGTTTTTCGGTTGTTTTTTCGGTCTTTCCCGGTGTGTCCGAAAATGGAGTACGGTGTGGAAGAAAAGGCTTGGTCTGTGGTTTGGTATAGCAAGTACGGTTCGGCGATAAATTTTCAAACGGGGATACCGCATAAAATACGGACGTAATGCCTAACCTCCAGATCGCAAGACAATTCGACGTTCGTGGAATAAGTTTCTTGAGACTGGCAGCGTTAAAAGGAAACAAAAAAAGCAGGAAAGATGAGTACGAACGGAGTTGAAAATTTAAGAAGTTTTGTCAAAATTCCGAGAAAATCCGCATATGAGCACACGAAGTTTGGCCAGAACCGAGGGAATGCCTTCAGCAAGGACCATTCGACGAACTCTGGAAGTTGATCTTCACTTTTTGTTCTTATTCTCATCGTCGATTTTCGGGAGGGTAAATTCCGCCGTATTTTTCTTCCGCACCGTACTCCATTTCCTGACACACCGGGAAAGACCGAAAAAACAACCGAAAAACGACCGAAAAAATGAACTCCAAGAATAAATCCAATAACTGTAGATATACACTTACTATGTATAACATATTTGGTATCAAACAAAACGGGGTTGGCTGACGATCCAGGGAAAAAAAGAATTTTAAAATTTGGCCAAAAACTAAAGAAGTTATAGCCAATTCAAATCGGGCCACAAAGATGCCCCACCCTGTACAAAAGAACTTTTGATTCGCAAGGTATAAAAAGTCTTATTCGGTATCTCATCTGTGTCTGCAAAATGCAAGCTACTGTATTAATTTTGAAAACTTTTCCCTTGTAAAATAAATTCATAATCACAAAAGTTTGGTAAACCGATCACTTCCCTTGGCGGTACAAATATTTATGAATATTGTGGAATTTAGGCGTGATCTTTTCTCATTTGAAATTACAACATTTTATTCATGTTTGGCCTGTCGTAACAAAATTTGTATCCTTCTTGGCTATTTTTAATATTACACAAATAATCCCCGTAAATTCCGCAAAAAATAGCTGTGTTCAAAGGCCGCTTGGATCCTTGATCCGGAACGGAACGTTTTTTTTCAAATCGTGTGGAAAAAAGGTAAAAAAATAATTCGTCAGTTGGTTTCAGGAAAATGTTTTGATAAAAAGTCAGTAAATATGGTCTGGATAAATACCCCACAAAAGCGCGTCCGATTCTCCGGATGTGCAAACAAATTTCGAGGTGAGGATCGCTTAATTCCGCTGTTTAGTTTGGGGAATTTGCATTAGAGTTTAGACCGAGGAAAATAATACGTGAAGGAAATTGAGACTTTCGGAAGTTTTTTTACAAAGAAATGTGCAATGCTTGCAATTTCTGCAAAATTTTTCAAGTAATCAATTATACCTAGGACACAAATCAAGCTCCAGAAATTTAACTTATGTTCAGAAACGGCCCTGATATTTTATAATAATTGGCAAACGGGGAATTATGGGAAATTATGAGATATAGTAAAAAACAGCTTGTCGCGGAAAGGTGATTTTATGAAGAAAAATTTAGTTTACATGTCGAATTCGCTGCCAATATGAAAACCCCTAACAACAGATTTTTAGTAATATTTCAACTTAAAATAGTTTCTGCAAAATACGGGCTAGACATCCCGCTTCAAAAACGCGAGTGCAAGATCCATCGAAATCTGACCTTTAACGTCATTTTGTGAACACATTCAGATTTTCGCAATATCACGTAATGCTTCCAGATTGTATTAACCAAACATTCAAATTTCTCTCCAAGTCCCCGCTAAATGTTCATTTTAACCAAATCCCTTTCGGGAAGCAAATGCAACCGCTGCATTTTCTCTAAAATCTTGACTCCGCATCAAATAGGTGTATTGTTATAAAAAAATCAAACCTTGCTAATAACTGCTTTTGGGGGCTGCCTAAAATTTCCATAATGAGTCAGTGTTAATCAAAAAGCGGTCAATGCCTCAGGCTGCCTTGCGACTGAGGGTGTGGAGTGTTATCATAGCACACCTTTCTCTTTCTTATCACCGAAATGAATTCAAATATTTTTTTCCGATCAGCATATTTTTGTCGTTTTGGGTTGGGGAAACACTGACAAAGAATCATTTGTTGGGTCAAAAAATGGACGAGATTTTCGGTTAGCGATCTTGAAAACAAGCAAGCGTGCAGTATAGAGATTAGTTAGTACTAAAGGTTCGGTTAAAAAAAAGAAGAATTAACGAGTCGAAAATTCTTAGGAATTGGCCAAATTATACAACGGAAAACAAACTAATCGCTTGTAAATCGCACTTGTAATTTTATCGTACAAATTTCCAAGGGCTTCTGATTTCAACGAAACCCTCTTTCTTGTAATTTCCCTGACCATCCCTTTTATGGTCACTCTCTAATCCCCCACATGACTCGATCTCCCCCATCATCTTCAAAAGCCGTTCAATATTTATTCGCCTCACGTCCAATATTTGTATTCGCTGTGTTGGTCCATGACCGCGAAAAGAACTTTTCTGATTCGAGGGCGAACCTTTAAATCCGGCCCCGAAAACTTTATTGTTCTCCGTCCAATGTCATACCCAATATTCCCCAAACATCCCAAGATTCCGCGATATGATGAGTAATATCAGAATACAAGAGTTTTATATATTTTTTTACTTTCGGTTTAGACTACATGTCCCTTTTGCTGTTGAAAACACGGGTTTACTAATGGTAGGGGGTTGAAAGAGTCCTACAAAGTAAGCCAGATCATCCCGCAGTTGCCTCGTGTAAATTTACCTTTTAGAAATTGTGAATGAGACAAGTGCTAATAGTGAAAGTGCTTGAGTTCCAGATTTTGAAGTCGTTTTTAATCTTTTTATTCCACAAGTTAATTTTTTTATATTTTTTCCAAAAAAAGTTTAAAATTTTGCATAAATTGGGAAAACAAGAAACTCGCTAATTATTTCAAGTACAAGACAAACAAATAAGTCATTTTTTTTAGTTGGTTGAACGAGAACATTTTTGTTTCAGATCAATGCGCTATTGGGTAAATGTGATTTTTATCGTCGCCGCTCTAACTTATTTTTGGTTTTACTTGATCTCAAACTCATGGAAAGTCAAAACTGCGCCCAAATACTTCGATGTAAGTTGAAAAAAGTCCACAAAATTTCTGATTTCTCATTTTGAAAGCCTAAAATATTAGTTGTTTAGTTATTCGGCCTAGAAGATGAGAAATCGAACGTCAATGAGGTTGTTCTTGATGAAGGCAACGCAAAGTTTATGGAAACCTCAAACTGTTTGAATGTGGAGACAGAAACACAACTAAAAGTAAGTCCCGCCCATATAAAAAATTAGTCATCAATATTTCAATTACCGGCGCTGATTTTGATGCACTTTGAACGCAATTTTGCGTAATTTTTATGAGAAAAATTTCCGAAATTACATCGTCCACCGAGGGAAAAAAACATTCATACACAACAAACCCATGTATTTTATACGAATTCAAACCATTCCAGTAAGATTTTTGGGACAAAAACGATGACAAATTACTTTAAAAATCTCTTTTGTCTCCCTCTCTAGTTTCATGCACTATGGTCAATTTACAAATGCAACCCCTCAATTTTGCAGGTAGATGGTCAAACCATTTCATTTTCTCCCGGCTACAAACCCCCTCCGAAATCTGACTTGCTCAACGTTTTCCTCGTCTTCCATTCCCATTTGGACCCAGGGTGGCTAATGACGTTTACCGAATATTATGACGAGCAGGTCAGCAGTATCTTCACCAATATGATCAAATACCTCAGCGAGCATCCGGATGGGAAATTCATTTGGTCGGAAATGTCCTTTTTATACCATTTTTGGATCACTGAAAGCGAGGACAAGAAGAAAAAAGTTAAAGAGTAAGCGAATATTACACTCTAACTCGTGGAAATAAATTTAGGTTTATCCAAAATGGGCAGCTAGAGCTTTGTGGAGCGGCGTGGGTGATGACGGACGAAGCCACTCCATACTTTTGGGCGACTATCGATAACATTGTGGAAGGACAGAGATTTGTCTACGATACGTTTGAATATACGGCTAATACTTCGTGGTAAGTTCAGAAACGGAGAGTAAAACACGACTGGCACAGTATCTGTGGCTACGTTTTTTGTTCCTATAAGGGTCCGAGTAAAACCGGAAAATAAAGTGGACAAAATTAATATAAGATCTACCCGATCAAACAGCCAGTTATTCAAACCTAGCCAACAAGAAATTTCAGGTCAGTAGATCCATTTGGACACGGAGGAATGAACCCATATCTAATGTCTTTGGCTGGTATCAACAGTATGGTAGTTGGCAGATTAAATCAACATGTTAAGATCGAAATGCGAGAACATGCAGCTATGATCTTCAAATGGGCTCAGCCTTGGCAACAGGTACTCCTTTCAACTTTCTCCTTCATTTCACGCAGCCTGTTATATTATACATGACACTAATGTTAAATGTGACATCAAAAAAGCCTATTATAACTTCCAATGTCCTTTAGGGAAGAGAACAGAAGATCCCCACCGTCATGTCCTTGCCAGACGTATACTACACAACTTCCAATGGCTGTGGAATCAACGGATCAGTATGTTGTCAATACGAATGGGGCACAAGTTCAAGATCATTCTGTCCGGAAAAGAAGGATATAAAGAAAACGAATGTAGAGTTTATGAGCAGACAGCTTGTCGAGCAATTCAAAACTTATCACGTAAGAGATTGCAGCAATTCACTAACCTTACCCCCAACTTGCAGCGATTTTACAACGGAGATTCCCTGTTAGTAGCAGTCGGAGACGACTTTTACTATCGGTATTCAGATGACTTTGACTCGATGTACAAGAATTACAAGCAAATCATCGATCATGTCAACGCGAATCCGGAGTACAAAACGAAAATTCAGTTTTCGACCCTTGGCCAATACTTTGAGCACACCAAGAAAACCTTTGCAAAACCACCAATTCTGCGGGGAGACTTCTTCCCATACACTGAGAATATGAGTGGAGGGCATCCCTATTGGTCCGGCTACTTTGTACACCGAGGGAATTTCAAGCAAATGGAGAGGAAAGCCCAGGTATTCACATTCGATTATATTGTAATAGGTAAACCAGTCAAAATTTTGAAGAACATATACGAGAAATACATCCATAAAAATTGGAAATTGAATTCCAGGGCTATTTGAGAAGACTCGATCTAATTAGAGCTTTATTTGGTGTCCAACACGATTATGACGAGCTAACGTTACACAGAAGGAACCTCTCCCTAGCACAACATCATGACTCGATTACGGGCACAAGCAAACCTCATGTCATGGCGGACTATCGCAAACGGTATGAGACAAACCTAGTCGTGAAATTGAATCAGAAAATAATGTGGAATAACACGAAATATATGAGAGTTCTTTCAGGTTATACAAAGCTGTCACTCATTTTGCCCAAAAAGAAGCCGAATACCTGGCTGGCGGAGCTGTACACGACGTCTACGATGATGGGCAAATATTCCAGTTCAATGAGACTATGAAAGAGTAGGTGACTTTACACCGAACTGGATTAAAGGGCTTGAAATAATACGAAGAAATGCTTTGTATTACAGAAAGACCCTCATAATCTTCAATCAGAACACTGAAAGCGATGAAAAAAGAGTTACCATCACCACAAACACGCACAACATGGAAATACGGAATGAATCAGGAGAAATACTACAAGTTCAAGCTTTTCCCGGTGTCAACAAAGCTGTAATGGAGGTGGACAAGGACTACTTTGAAGTAAGTTGAACAATTTTTAGGGTTGCGGAATGTCAAAATTTTAGGCATTTCGTCGCAAAATTTATTGTTTTTATTTTTTACCTTTTTCATGAATTCACGGCAGTACTACGTTCGTCGTATTTTAGATCGTATTCTACTTAAAATGCCGCCCCTTATCCTATCAAAAGGTTACGATTACTCGCTTGGCTGATGGACAACGATCGCCGAAAACACATCTCAGCGAGGCGAAGGAAGTTTCTGATGGCGAAACTCTGAAGATGCCGACGGAAAAGTTCGCGATGTCCCTTACAAAGGGGAGGATAAGTGTATGTTCATTTTTCTTCCATTTTTCCGATAGATTTGCAAAATCAGATTAGGCGTGGACAGTGGTCATCGATAATATAAATTGACGTTATCTTCGTTGTCTTCGTCTCAGTTCTCAGGTCAAAATTCGGAAAACGTTTATTTTTATGGCCATTGGCACTTATTTAAACTTCAGAATTTTTTAACGATTCAAGATTTTTGTTCACAACATTTAATTTTAGGTAGAAGGATCTTCAGAAAAGGTCAACGTTGGCTATGGTTATCACACAGATATGGGTGGAGCATACGTCTTTAATCCACTGTCCGCTTTGAAGGCTATTGCGAGAAGCCGCTGTATTTTCTTCACTGGACCGCTCACTTCAAGACTCTACTGCAAGCTTGATCCTAAGATTGATAAAAAGTCACCAGTTATTGTGGAGATGATTGAAGTCGATAACAAACAGCCCAGTGATGCTGTGCAAATCAATTTGGAAGTGTTCTCCCAACTGAAGGATCTGAATGGGCACACTTTTATTTTAAAGGTTGGTAGTCATGTACAAGGGAACACTACAATATGGACGGATGTAAACGGGTTGTATTTGAATGAACATAAGATGAATCGGTAAGTCCAAGGCTACCTTCTTTGTTTGTTGAAGCTTACAAGTCTTTCGTGTGAGACATTCACTGTCCCTTTGAGTCTTGCATGCGGATTTTGGGGCCACCTAGAAATTCCCGAAAGTTTGTAAACGCTTCAAAGCTCCCATTTTTCGACGACAGCTTCTAAGATGTTAACTAAACGATACCCCCATTATTATTGCATTATAATTGGTTTAGGTCCCTTCCAATTGCCGCAAATTATTTCCCATCTCCCTCTGAATCGATGGTCCAGGATACGAACAGTAGATTAACGGTGTTGGCAAGACAATCGACTGGTTCAACGGTGGATGAGAACGGGGAATTGCATTTGTTGTTGGACCGAAGTGTCTATGGTGAAGATGGAAAGGGCCTTGGATTGGGCGAAGCCAAAACTGTATGTCATTCATCAAGCAACCGGCTAAAGACCATTACTAGCCTGTTTTTGAATCGGTTACTTTGAACTTTTGCTAACATTTATTAAATATTTGAATTGATTTAATCCAATTTTTCAGGAAGATCCTTCGCACTTTAAGGCCCGAATAATAATCGAAAAGGTTGCTGACCCTAAGGACGACACTATTTTCCACTCAAAATTTGTCGACCGCTCCCTTGAAGATCTTCTCCATCCCATTGGAATTGTTGCCAAAAAGCCGGATTTCTCTCCAAAAGTAATCCCGGAAATTTATTGGCCATGCAATCTCCAGCTCATAAATCTACGACAAGTCAAGGATTTTCATTTGTTGACGATTCGGAAGTTGGAGTTTGACTGTTCAATAAAATCGACCGAAAAATGCGAGATTGAATGGGTAAGACAAGGTTATTTCAGTTTCTGTTTGGCGCTGAAATTTCGTAGAGCCAAGAATTGCTTGAATTTCTAAAACTTTAAATTTCAGGACAAACTGGATGCCACTTTGAAGAAAATTGTGCCATATGACCACCCTAAATTAATATTTTCATCCCTCTCGGCTGTCAACGAAGATTCAAATGAAGAATACTCGATAGAGCGGCTACAAGAGAAACTAACGCCTTTTGAAATAGTCACTGTCAAGATTTCCCAAGGAATCTAAGTCTTGCCTTATCAAATACGGGTACTTTTTATAATAATTACGTGTATAATTTATATTGTTAATGTTTATGCGGAAGCTAAATGTGATACGTAATGAAGAGTTTGATAAACTTCTATTTTGCTCTCGAATTTCTTTGAACTTTTTGTAATTTCACGTTTATTCCATGACAACGTGTGAGAGAGCCTGCAAACTGAGGAGAGTCTATGCCTGAGCCGACTTACAGCCATATTTTAAAAAGATATTCGAGGCTTACAAAAAAGGCGTTTCTGGGACAGTGCTTTTTTTGGCCAGGCTTTTGTATGACTTGCACTTCGATGAGTTCTCGTGTATCGCGCTCTCGCCTTGTGGTAATATGCACAGTAAATATAAATTATTTCCACATCTTGTACAAGCTCCCAAAGTGAATCTCGACGTCTTCAACTGTGCCAGAAATGGACGGCAAAACTGCTGCACGTTGTTTGAAGCAGATATCTTTGGCAATCAACTGCCGAACTTGTGGAAACTCCGCGTACATGTAATACGCTGTGATAATGTTGTAAAATTGGACGGTTATGTGAATAGTCTAAAACTACAAACTTTTCAACCTTACAGCCATACCGTAAACAGGATGATGATCACCAAACTCTCACTTGAATGATTTAATTTGAAGTAGAGGTAGGTTAAGACTGAAAACATTGGAAAGATCGCCACCAGAAGAGCAGCAAACGCTTGGAGGATCCGGTTGAGGTAGTTCATTATTGCCACGGTTTGACGCATCTCGTATTTCCGGCTCAGCGGCGTGCAAAAACATTTTACTTGCAGTTTTTTCTCAATGTCCCGCATGAGCTAAAGCAATCGAATTTCGAGCGTAACTTACAACGACTGCAAAGATCATACCAACAAAGGCCTCCATGTAGGCGAAGAGATAGCCTGGAATCCATTTGTCCGGCACGATGACTGTCCGTAATATAACATCCACAGACGAATTACGGAAGACCCAGTATCGGGTAGCCATGTTTAGTAGAAGAACAAACAAGCAGAAGATAGCCTAAAAGTCATGAAATTAGCTGGTCTATACACAGTAACTACTATTATCTAGATTTTTTGTCAGTTCTTTTCCGAAGCCGTAAGATAAAACGTTCTTTGCCATCCCCTGTACATACCGAACGTTTAAGAATCTTCCTCCCAAACCATGGTCCTGACATCTCGTACGCCCGAATGTGACCTATCGCGGCCCGTCTCTCCAATGTGATCAAGAAATATTTGATGGTAAAAACGAAATACGCGTAATGGCTTGTAAGCATTACGGAATAAAAAATAATGGCATTTTTGTAATGACCTTTTTCGATACTGTAATATTCACTTGGCACGAGGTTGGAGAACGGATGTGTAAGGCTTATTATTACCAAGCTGCCCATCGTGGTGCTCTAAATAAAAATAAAATGAGAAAAAAATGAAATAAAAATGCCATACTTGAAGAAAGGAACATATATTTAAGATTTTTCGATGGTGCTATGCGCTGAGATTTTTCGAAAATAGTACACTAAAAATTTACTCTCTTTTGCAAATACTTTTCTGACAGGCTCCCCCATTTCGCTTAATCTATTGCCATGTGTAAACATACCCTATTATTTGAATTTTTTTACACTTTATGAGGCAGAATGTTGCGACTCACGATGAGAAATGGTGTTTTAAAATAAGAGATTCTGTACTCTTCACCTCAAAAGCCCCTTTCTACGAAGAGTTTTATCAAAAAAAAAGAACACGACTTACGAGAATCAGCCGCAGACTGGGATGAATACAGCTGGAAAATGCCGACCGGTATGTGACATAAGCGTTGAAAAGAGAGGATACAACACTTACACACAGCTCTGTGTACAACAAGATATCTTTTAGAAAAGAAGCTTGAATAATATCCATTGATTAATCGTATCACATCACCTTGAAATGCACCTCATGTTCGTTCACAGACAACCTTAGTTAGGTCCCGCAAGAGAATAGTATTTATGGTAAATGGGTGTCTCCTTGTCAATAATTATGAGTTCTTCTATACTCAAGTCTTGAAAAAGCGGTTCCAAAAATTATTTTCAGAGAACCGAATGCTCGTCTCATGGGTCCTAACTCAATACACTGTCTGTACTTTTACGCTTTGTTTACGTGATCTCATTCTCTAATTATGTTCGATGACGGTTAAAAAATGTGGTAACATTTATTTGAAATGAAAAAATCTAGTTCCGCCATCCTCCGTTCTAAAAAGAACACAGATTGCATGCACTGTTGAGTAATTGCATCATCTTTGAGTGGATCGTCATTTGCACAGTAAATGCGAGAGAGCAATCTTTAAACCATTGAATCTTACCGTACATAAAATTCTGTTCTGACTGCCTTCGATCCTAGAGCTATTTTGAAACTTCCCGGATGGAAACTGGTACGGTTTTTGCCAATAAGACAGATCCGCTGCTATAATATTATAGACAAAAAACCGTGAATTAAAAAAAACAGAATCTTTGTGGCCCGGGTTCAATTGGCTATAATTTCCTTATTTTTGGACCAAATCTCAAGATTATTTTCCCCATAATCCTCAGAACCGCTAGGTTTGATACCAAGTTGCTATCAATTGTTATTAAAAAACAGCACGTTTCATTTCGTAGAATGTCCTCCGTACATGTAGAAGAGACACCTCGGTACTTTAATGTTTTTAGTTAAGGGTGATATTAATTACAAAAAATGATTTTTTGGAATACGCAGAAGCAATACAACGCAGATATTGTATGTAACGCTTCTTATAAGACGCACTTAAAACGACCGAATTATAGTTCTGTGCTAAACAATTTTCGCGTACTCACAGTATTGTTTGTAGCCCCGTATTAGGCACACTTATACCGTTTTTTTCGACATCTCTTCATTCTGTTGCCATGCGTTTCAGTTTAACCGTTGTCCAAGTCTTCCGCATTCTGAATGGAATTGAGATTGCTGCGGCATGTGTGAATACGATTTGCTCTGTTTATTTTGTTGCCCGAACAATCAACTTATCAACTCTCAATATTAACTTGCGGCTTATCTTGGTGAGCTTTATTTTTTAGATGTTCGAATTACAGATGTGGCTGATTGTAAAATATGGGATGAATTGAATTTTTAAAGTCAGATCTTTAATCTGCCGTTTAGATGCTCCTATCTTTGTAAAAATGTTTTTTATGTGCAATGGCGGACTCGATCAAAAGGAAAACAACTTTGATTAGGAATTAGCAGCCGTCTTTACATTTTTTATAATATTTTTTGTGTTTCTAGCTAGCTATTTTTTGCCATATTTTTCCATACAACGAATTCCATTTCCAGATGGTAGAAACCATTCTATGTGTGTTCGTTTCGCTTGTCCATTCCACCTCGCAGATTACCGACGAGTCTTGGTACAGTATCGAAAAGCGTCAATATTTGGCCGCCCTGATTTTTTACGTCACCTTGCTTGCAGCCCAGGTGGCAGCATTTATGTTCGATGCCAAATACATGTTGATAGCCATAGAGAGGACAATTGCTTTCGAGGACCGGCGACGTTACGAGACAAGGGGCGGAGAGGTGGCACGGAAGTATCTGTGGAGGACTGTAGGTTACAGCGTGTGTACGTGTATATATTTATAAATATGTAAAAGGCCATCTTTTTATCCTTTGAGACTGTATTTTAAATTGTATGTTATATTCTCAGCAGGAACAATACGCAACAAGCCAAAGGTCAAGAAGGTACTTTGGCGCAGTTTCTTTTTTGGTTTTGCGTTGCTGCCTGTTGTTTGTAGGCTTGTCTTCTCCACGTTGTAGTAATAAATATACTGTGGGGAAAAGGATGTTTTTCGTCATACCCCACGACTAAAAAACGCGCTACAACTTTTCGGCTGAACGTTGGGTCTCCTCGGTTGGTCGTTGGATGTAAGCACGGCGGATGCTAAGAGAACGCTTTCAATCAATCAACGAATCAATAAATTTTTTGATTCCTTCTAATAGGGAAATTATCCATCTAAGATTGTCCAAAAACTCTTATTTAATTAAGTACTTCATTTCTGACTCCAGGACAATTTCAGTTTTTTGTTGTCACTACTTTGACCGTGCTAAAATGCATCATCATCTACTGTAAAAATCCTCAACTTCAAATCGATGCTCGGCTCCGTAGAACGTTGATTCTCGAGTATGATTACGATTGGGCAGGCCCTTCTTACTTCTGCGCTTGGCTTGCCATTCCATACAGTATTTACGTAAGAAATTTTTATTAACACTTGACGCGTTAGATATGTTTAGAAATTTTACAAGCTCCACCAAATGACAAATAAAAACACGGCATTTGAAAGTCTCAGCGCGATGTATGAAGTTCGGAGGATAAGGATGACGTTGGACTACATGAAAAGATTGATATCAGTGTTTGTCGGAACTCTATTGTTCTGCGGCTTCGTTACGTTTCTTCAGTGGTACTTCCATAATATTAAGAAAGTAGCAGATTACAGTTATGAAATGAGATGTACAAGCAGTGTAAGTGTTTTTTGACCAGTGAGATGTAAAATATGAAATTGATGAGAATATACACCCAGCAAGTGGCCTATGTTTTTTGCGTTGGGTAATGGACTATAACCAAAGATCGTATGAATGTTTTGCCAGCATTTAAAGGGTTTCCAGGCATCAGAAGAGAATTTGTGGGCTAACACGCAAATTGGGGCTAGTTTGCAAAAAAACTGAGTCTATAACCTTCGTGTGCAGCGCAATTAGATTTTTCAAATAACATTCTTTATTATCAACACAATCTATTACTTTATTTCAGCTTGTCTACACAAGCTTTTCTATCTACAATTTGATCTGTACATACTATTTGGTCCACGAGTTCCCCCAATTCCAACGAATTGTTCATCGCGACTTCCGAATTCTCCGCCGGAATTATGTTGAAGCCGCTCCATTGCCAACAACGGACAGAAATCAAACTGAATTGTATTTCAAACAGTTCTCTGCCATGTGGAATAAGTGAGACACAGCTTGAAAAATGTGCCATGTAGCCTGGTGAAATGTTGGAACAGACAAGACGTTGTACTACGTATTGTGTGCCGGCTGTTTTTACAATCGTATTACAGTATTCCATAACATGGAAATTAATAGTCAACAGGTTGTTTGACGGATGTGAAACCCCACAAAATATATTAAATACATAAATTAGGCTAAAGCTTATCAACAATTTACATACCTCGGATTGTGAATAATTTGCCACCGAGATTGTTCTCTAACAAATACTGAAACTGCTATTTTGGGTATCTATTTTTATGATTTGGTTATTATGTTGCGAATTAAATTTTCAATTGTATAGGTGGCTTGAATGATTACCATAAGGAAAACCAGGCATTCTTAAAGGGTCAGAAACCATTTTCCAAGATAGCACTGACAAATGTGAAATCGGCGGATGAATTCAATAGATTCGTGGACCTATCTGTACCAGGGAATTGCCAATGCAAATTCTATCATTCCATGTACAGGTAGAGAAATCGTAATTCTAATAGGTAGATGTCGACTGCCTGCAAAGTGGTTGCCCGCAAGAGTCGTGAGGCTCGATTTTTTTGTTCTGCATTGTACAATGCCCACAATAAAGTAAAATTTTGTGAGGTGCGAATAATTCTTTCTACCGCACAGCTTAGAACAGGGTTTATCCAGCCTTGGGCTCTGTATATTGCAAGACCAAAAAGTTCGATATGGCCGGAAGTCGTGGTTAAGCCTCGTGGCCGAAAAAAGTTTGAATTGCCATGAATCTTCTAAAAAATGAAATGAAATATTATAATACATAACGATTCACCTAAAATGTACGTAACACAGCCGTGTTCTTGTACTGGATAAACAATGCTCGGCGGACAATGTTTTGTAGTCAGGGTTGGTCCCACTTATTGCACACTTCTCAGCAATCCTTTCAGTGCTTTGCCATAACATGAGTTTCAATTTAACCGCTGCCCAAGTTTTCCGTGTTCTGAACGGAATCGAGATGACTGTGGCGTTTGTGAACACGATTTGCTCGGCTTATTTTGTTGCCAGAACAATTAATTTGTCAACTCTCAATATTAACTTGCGGCTAATTTTGGTGAGCTTTATTATTTAGATATTTGATTTACAGATTTGGCTAAAACATGGGATAAATTGAACTTTTGCAAAGCCACATCTTTAAATCGGCCCTTTAGGCTCTCCTGTTTTATGTAAAGCGGCGGGCCTGATCAAAAACAAACGGCTTTCGTTCTTTTTTAGCCTTGATTCTTTTCTGGCCAGGGAAGGGAACCTTTTCGCGAAATTTCACATCGACCGACCTGCCCGTTTTTAGTCATTGAACCATTATACAACTTAAAAACTGTGTAAAACTATCTTGTTTGATCAAAACTAGAAGTCATGGCATTTCCAGATGGTCGAAGCCACTTTATGTGCATTTGTTTCGCTTGTTCATGTCACTTCGCAGATTATCGACGAGAGTTGGTACAGCGTCGAGCGGCGTCAATATTTCGGTGCTTTGATTTTTTACCTCTTCGTGTTTATAAGTCAGTTGGCAGGATTTACATTCGGCGCTAAATACATGTTGATCGCCATAGAGAGGACAATTGCTTTCGAGGACCGGCGACGTTACGAGATAAGAGGCGGAGAAGTGGCACGGAAGTATCTGTGGAGGACTGTAGGTTACATGTGTACCTGCGTATGTATATAAATATGTCAAAAGCACGCCTTTGTATCTTGTGATATAAAACGATATGCAAAAAGGATAAGGCTAAATGAATATATAATGTATACACTGTAGGTTTAAAGTACATATGTTTCCCGCTATATTCCACGAGGCTCCTGGTACTTCATTTCTTATTCTAGTGTAATTTCAGTTCTACGTTATCGCTCTTTTGACCCTGATCAAATGCATCATCATCTACCGCACAAATCCTCAACTTGAGATCGATAATCGGCTCCAAAAAGCGCTGATTCTTGAGTACGATTACAACTGGGCGGGCTCTTCTTACTTCTGCGCTTGGCTTGCCATTCCATACAGTGTTTATGTAAGCAATTTTAATTCAAACTTTGCGGTAGATGCTTAGGAATTCTGCAACCTTCATAACATATGCAATAAATAAATACACGGCATTTAAAAATGAAATGAAAAAAATATAATTTCTTGGTGTAGGTTTTCAAACCCCCTCCTTCAATCTATAACGGTTTCCTATCCGTAAACTGAACCCCGACACCTCAATTCCAGATTTTATAAGCGTGTCTATAAATTTTGAAACAGAGTGTATGATGTTTAGAAATTCTACAAACTCCATAAAATGATGAATAAAAACACGGCATTTGAAAGTCTCAGCGCGATGTATGAAGTTCGGAGGATAAGGATGACGTTGGACTACATGAAAAGATTGATATCAGTTTTTGTGGGAACTCTGTTGGTCTGCGGCGTCGTGGCGTTTCTTCATTGGTACTTCCATGAGATTAAGAAAGTGACAGATTACAGCTATGAAATGAGATGCACGAGTAGTGTAAGTGTGTTTTTAAATCAGTGAGATGTAAAAGTTCTTCAGTGGAAAGGGCGTGAGAAAGAGAGGCGGTGACAAGGGTGACCTCCTAACTCGTGTTACCGCTTCTCGTTGTAACCAATACAATTTACTTTCTTTCAGCTCGTCTACACAAGCTTTTCTGTCTACAATTTGATCTGTACCTACTACTTGGTCCACGAGTTCCCTCAATTCCAACGAATAGTTCAACGCGACTTCCGAATACTCCGCCGGAAGTATGTTGAAGCCGCTCCATTGCCGACAACGGACAAAAATCAAACCGAATTGTATTTCAAACAATTCTCTGCCATGTGGAATAAGTGAGACACTGTTTTGGATGTGTGTCTCATAGCTTCACAAAATGTTGGAACAGACGGGAGATTGTAAAAAGCTTTGCGTGCCGGTTGTTTTTACAATCGTATTACAGTATTCCATAACACGGAAATTGATAGACTACGGGTTATTTGAAGTATATAGAAACCTCTTAAATATTGCTTGAACTTGGCCAAGGCTTATCAACGATTCATACCTGGGCCATTAAATAATTTGCCACGAACTTTAACAAGGACAGAAACTGCTGTTTTCGGTGCTTTTTAATGAATTTCACGGCCGTTTTGAGGCCGCTTATTGGAGATTGGCTTTACTACGAGTCATGGCTGGAAGTGTTCGTAATGGTGCCCACGTTAATGCTGAATATTTATTTTACGATTCGAATAAGTCAACTGTCAACGTTTAGCGTTAATTTTCGGATTATAATTGTGAGTTTAGTTTGCTGATTACACGGTTAGATTATCCATTTCTTTAAAATGCGTTATCGTTTTACAGTTTTTCTTGAGTTTTAGACTGTCCAAACAATTCTCACATCGCTGATCGCTCTAGTCCATCCTTTACAGTACTTTTTACCGGAAACTTTTTATTCCTTCAAGGACGGGAACTACTATTCAGCAATGGTAACGTATGGAGTACATGGAGCACTTCATTTTGCCTTGTTTCTGATCGAGAGTAAATATTTACTCATCGCCATTGAACGATTAATCGCGTTTAATCAACGGACGACATATGAAAAAAGGAACTGTTCCGTGGCTTTCAAAATACTGGGTGTTTATGTAAGCCATTAAGAATTATGTATTAATTAAAAATAACGATTTGATTTATAAATTAGTTTTTTCTGTTTAGTTCGTATTCTCCACAGTGTGTTTTTATGCCAAGACGAGGTTTCTTTGGCAGAGTTACTCAGATCTCCCGATTGATGCCAGATTGCGAAAGGTTGTTATGTTTGATCGGGATTACTATGGGTATTCGGTAAACTACGCGTTGTCCGCTTTGTCGACTGTGGCTGCCATTTACGTAGGTCAATAAAAAAATTTGTCTTTTTTGCCAGTTTTAATTATGTAATACAATCGCAGAATTGTACTCTCCAAATTACAGGAAAACAGGAAATCTTGTAGTTGCGTGTTATGACGGTACCTTTAGATTTTCTATCACATTCATTGTCAACTCCTTCGCCGTTGCGCTGAGTTTTGCACACTGAGCGAGCGGTTTGAAGTCCGTCAGACGCAGATGATGCTGAATTACGCAAAGAGCCTTGTGACCGCGTTTGTCATCCTTCTTATTACCTGTGGGGTTAGTAATTCCGCTGTAGCTTATTTGAAGTTCGTTGAAGGTCGCGTTGAAGACGATCCGGAAATCGTCTTTGTGTATGTTGTAAGTTAAGAAACGACTTACAAGGTTGATTTATTTTCAAGTTCGTCTACATTTCATTGTGTCTGTATAATTTTACGGCAATGCTTTACATGATTAGATCGTTCCCACAGCTGCAGAAAGTGATTCTGAATGATCTTCCTTTCCTGAAAAGGAAAGGGACAGATTTAGTGAAACCTGAGAGAGTAGCGGACACAGAACTGCATTTTGGCCATTTGAGGAAGTCTTGGAAATAAGAGTACCTCTTACATTTGTTATAATAGGCGATTTTTTTTAATGAAATAAACGATTAAAGACATTTGCACAAAATTTTTTTGCTTGTGCTTTATTTATTCATGATTAGGTCAAAAATATTGTATAACACAATGAGAAGACGAGCATAAGTTCGAAGAGCTTTGCATAGCAAAATTATCCGTTCCATCCTTATCCCTCATTATTTCCAAACTTTGGCTTGTAAAGACAGCATCCTTTCACGGGGATTCCATTTAGAAACGCGTGCATTCGATCCTTGTAGAATTTCCAAAGCTCAGGGAAAAAGTAATTCATCTCTTCTTCGTTGCTGTGGTCCATGATATCGCGACAAACATCACCATTGCACTCACTAAACGCCCGTTCTCCCGCTTGAACCATTTGAGTCATGCAAATGAAAAAATTTTCTCCAACTTGATATGGTGAGAACTCAGCACCGGTGACATTACCGCTTATGAGCTTGAGAGGGAGATCTTGGAAGATAGGCATAGCCAAAAAAAGCAATCTTGGACTTACCTGGCTCAGCAGCGGCAGGTCTTCCCAAACCAATTCCCTCGGCCACTCCTGATTTCACAGTCTGAACCATGGCAGACGATGTTCGAAATCCTCCAGTTATGTAGACTATTGCCTGCTTTATATGTGGTTTGATCGCCTTGACAAACTGAACGAAAAACGCCTCTCGTTTCAATGTTGACTCCTTCTTCAATGTTGGGTCGTTGATTGTCCAAACAAAATCTTCGTAATTCCCACCGGAGAATTCGATAAAATCCATGCCAATATTCTAAACAAATTTGCAAAAAATCTCATCTTGTACAATGCTTCAACTTACATCTAGAATCTTTGCAGTTGTGATTGCATCTTCCACGCCAAGGCCATTTGCTTGGAATTCAACAGAATTCATTTTGACTCCAACAATGAATCCAGTGCTTGCTGGGATTTTTAGCCTGAAATTTACGAAATATTCATTACTGTGACAATTTCACGACTGTCATAACTTTTATCACCATTACCGTATAGCATTATAAATGTCAACTAAAATCTGCGCTCTTTTCTCCCCACTACCGCCGTATTTATCGGTTCTCAAATTTGTATCCGGTGCCAAGAATTGAGCCAACAAGTACCCATGAGCTCCATGCAGCTGAACTCCATCAAATCCACATTCATAAAGTTTTTCAGCAGTAAAAACAAAGCGATGAATGACTTCGCTTTGAATCTGTTCGAGTGAGTATGGGGTTGGCTTGGCATATTCGGTCACAATACTCAAATTATCAACGTAATTGTGAGCTTTGAATTTTAGGTGAACATCTGACGCAGAGAATGGATGTTTGTTGAGGGTTATCGGCGTCTGGCGTCCAGCATGACTGATTTGAGCAATAGCCAGGGTTTTGTCATGCTTGATGACATTGGCAAGGTGGCTAAAAAAATTTGAATATATGCCGACAGTCAAAGTTCCATTAGTTGGAGCACTCAATTTTCATTCACAACCCGGCTTTCTTTTTGGTTAAAACATATACTCGACATAGCCCTACCGAAATTTCCTTGTCTTTTCTTCAGTCCAACTTTCCTTGCAGATGAACATATTTCCGGCACTTTCCAAGTGAGTGGGGTTAACTTGAAGATTTCCAGTCATAACAACGCCAAAATCTCCGTGGCCCCACTTGTCATACATGTTGATCAGGCGTTCTGTGGGGATTCCACTGGCAGTAAGATCGCCCGCATCCCATGTCGCTAAGGATTCGGACAGGGCGGACTTAAGAGGTTGAAAATTAAAAAATATTTAGTCGAACACACATGTAAAACGGGCTCATAATCAAAATCTTCATTTACCTTCAAGAACCTGTTCTTGGCCACCTTCCCGGAGGTCTTGAATTTCAACTCATCTCCCAAAATACGGAAATCATTGTCCACAGGTTCCACGGGTTCATATCTTTTCACAACCATCGCAAAATCGTGAACTCCTTATCAGTGAAACATCTTTTCCATGTTTTAAACTTTTCTGGTTGGCCGAATATCGATTTGAAACGTAGTTTGAGACTTGAAAATTTTGTTTGACAAAAGAGAGAAACTCGAGAGGAAATTTTCTTGTCGTACCTTTGTTGACGGGTTCTTTCAATACTTGAAGACATTTTCTTGAGATTTCTTTTGAGTTATCAGCAACAGGAATCTGTTAAGGAAAGATCTTGGAGCCGGAGGTTTTACTTCTTTCAAAAACTGTTTAACAAAAGTGCCTCAAATCGTCTACTTTACTTCTACAAAATCCTGAAGTTTTGTAAATAATTTATAGTTATTAAAACTTCTTCTTTATTCGATAAAAATTAAATACCAGTAACTCTGCCAGAAAGACAACAGCACTAATCGCCATCCCAACGGCGCATATGATCAGCACACCAAAATACGACATGAGCCCTGAAATTTTGGGGTTATCGTAAAATTAGCGACTTCTCTTACGCAACGGATCGCCGATCTTGAAATGACTGCATTGCGTGATTATCGTCCGGTCTACCGAATATGTTTTGTGGATTTCTACAATCTTTGTCTTCGCGATTTGCAAGGCCTGGTTGACCTTATGGATATACGGATAACCCTTCCGGAACAACAAACGAGAAGACGTCAGATCGATCGGAACATATATCTTCTCTATGCCACAATCTTTGCTGGCTAGGAAATAAGAGAGCTCATCGTCTTGTGAGAATAAAATTCCGTCGTCTCTTGCTACAGCATCAACGGCTTCTGAAACGGAAGTAAGACCCAGCTCTATTGTATGTGATCAATTTTTGGTGCTTACTCTTGTCACTTTCATACAACTGCAGTATTCTGTCCTTCCCCGCCAGATTAGGGAACATCGTATCGATCGCTGAGTCCAGTTTTTCTTGAAGCCATGAGTTTCTGGCCGTTGCGATCAACTTTTTGTGCTCATGTTTTACATAGTTTTCGATTCGTTGTTGAGAATCGGTCTCTGACATTTTGTCAATACGGACCATAATTGAGAGGAAATACGAGGTAAAAACTCCAATAATAAGAGCACATTGGAAGAGTGCAAATACCAGAACGGTAAGGTTTCCGGAGAAAAAACGAAATTTGAGATTGTGCCCTTGGAGCAACTGAATTCTCAACGTGCCCCACACTTTCTAAAAAACAAAGCATAGTTTCTAACAGTTAGGCAGGACAGAGTTCACTTAGAACCCCCGACTCACATCGCAGATCCGCTCTTTCTGCGGGACAAACCTGTTCTGGACACTTTGAATCACTCCGCAGACAACGCATTGTATCGTCAGGAAAGCGAGCATTATAGCCCAAGTGTTCTTGTCATAGACCTTGAACATATTCCACCAGCCAAGCCCAAAGTCTTCTTTTTTTACGAGGAACCGAGGGTTTATCTTAAATAATGCAGCATTGCCAAGGTGTAAGCAAGGGGCTTACATAATAGACAGGGTCACTTAACAAGTAATCCCTCGCTCTTTGCTTTGTGTATTCGACGGATATAGCCGCCGTGTCGACTGTACCATTGTTTATCATCTCCTTTATTTCATTCCCATACTGACCGACTGCCTGAAATTGATGGCGTTACTCAATATAAGAAAATATGTAAAGGAGACTAAAATCAGTCACATTGCAAGAATGGGGCGTTCTGTTCCTTTAAAGATCACCGAAAATTTTTGTCAGAAAATCGACACCCCGTTACAAGGACTGCCGGCCTTTCTTACGTTACTTTCGACTGTATTTCTTACCGCAGTGTAACTGTCGTATTCGTTTAGAACCTTTCCGAGAAACACCGGCTCAATTTTGCATTCCATTATGTCAGCGAGAAGTCCAATGATCTAGAACACCAAAAGTTATCGTCAATTTCGCCTACTTCGTTCATGAGTCCCGGCATGTAACAGAAAGGGCCGGATTTGAACACATTCCGAGCACAATCGGTGCTTGAATATGGAAAGTAGGAAGTGATCAATACTTTCAGGACACTTGGCCCCGTTCTATTCGTTGTTTGCGCCATGTTTTAGAATGATCGTACATGGAGCCTTTGACTGGAAAGGTATGACTTCCGACATTCGATAGCTGAGGGTGTTGGAAAAGACTGAACGTGTGGCTGGAGGACGAGAACAAAATGTGTTTTTTGCTTGCTATTTTGAAACTACTATGTTTAGATCAACATACAGTAGTTGACAGCGAATTGTCAATTTTTTTATTTCGTGTGTAACTTCACTCAGACTCAACAGAATTTGATGAGACCAAGAGCGTTTAAGAGGCTGGGAGACACGCTTCAACCTTATGAAATTGTTTTATTTCATATCGGCCACAGGCGTGGTAAAAATTTCAAAACAAGTTTTTTTGGGGGACAACGAATTGTCAATTTTTACATTTTGAGGCATAAGATCTCAATAAACCAGCATATAAAGACTAGAATGGAGAGTAATCAGTTGCCAGCAATCATAGAACAGCATACAACGGGTTTCAGCCATTAGTATAATCTCCTTCGCTTTCTATAGGCCGGGCACTTGGGGGTGGACCATGTACAATATAATGTCAGCCTGGGGGCTTCCTAGGCCGAAATTATCTTATATTCCGGTTTTTATGGAAGATTATTGCATATATTTAGCACACTTGCACCGGATTACAACTTGGAGGGGCTACGGGTCAAAAATTCGTCAGATAATATTATTTTTGGTCATTTAAACTCTGTGTTTCGCCCAAAAATCGATATTTTTTTTGCCGACAGGGGGCATAGGTTCATTTAATCCTCCTTTACGGCCAAACTAACGACATTCTACAAATTATTTCATTACCTGTCTCGACGCCCTGAAATTTCCGGGTGAGGTTCTGACGGTCCAATTAATTCTTGTGCCACACTAGGGTGGTGAGTATATTAATCATTTTATTGCGCGTCTTCTGCGTTTTTAAACGTTAAAACTAATATTTTTAATGCTTGTAAAAATCTCTAATATGCTAATAAAATGTCTTGGAAGTTGCAGACTTCACAAAATATAATTTTTTCTGGGTGTTGCATACCCAACTTGAAAATTCATGTAAACCCAAATATTTCCCTCTGCATACCTCTTCCATGAGTGCTGGTACTGACATCTGAAAGGCACTGAATATTTGTCTTTTAGTGTAGTTTGTTTTCAAATATAGAAGGTTTCTCCAAGGATCTTCATGCGCGACATTTTTTGATTTTTGATACTCTGACCAACAGTATGAAAGGCCATGATTAACATATTCGAGGTAACAAGGCGCAAGTGTAACCCGTTAGGTGTAATTTTTTGACTTGCCCTAGCGTAGTAAGATGTAACCGCCCATAAAAAACCGGAATATAAGATAATTTCGGCCTAGGAAGCCCCCAGGCTGACATTATATTGTACATGGTCCACCCCCAAGTGCCCGGCCTATAGAAAGCGAAGGAGATTATACTAATGGCTGAAACCCGTTGTATGCTGTTCTATGATTGCTGGCAACTGATTACTCTCCATTCTAGTCTTTATATGCTGGTTTATTGAGATCTTATGCCTCAAAATGTAAAAATTGACAATTCGTTGTACCCCAAAAAAATTTGTTTTGAAATTTTTACCACGCCTGTGGCCGATATGAAATAAAACAATTTCATAAGGTTGAAGCGTGTCTCCCAGCCTCTTAAACGCTCTTAGTCTCATCAAATTCTGTTGAGTCTGAGTGAAGTTACACACGAAATAAAAAAATTGACAATTCGCTGTCAACTACTGTACGTCTTTGTGTCAAATGACCGTGACGTTTAGAAAAAGATGGAAAACACGTAGTTCCAATTTTGCGGTTTGCGCCGATTATTTTTCGCGAAATTTTCTGCATTTCCGTGAAACTAGAGCTAGACTAGAACCAGTTCGATTGTGTAAAAGCCTATAAAAACGAAAAACAAAATTTATGAAAACATGGCCAAAATTTTTTTTCAATGACAGCCAATCCAGGTTTTTGGCTAGCCATTTGAAAAATTTGACTCTTTCAACTCATTGGATAGATGGACAAAAAATTTTGGGAAATATTGCGCATCATAGTTACAGTTTGCTTTGCACTAAGAATACGTGAACCAGGGTTTTCGTGACTTTATATTTTATTCAAAACATTCATTTCGTTCATTGACGAGTTCTTTAGTGACGAATGGATGACATTTTGGCCAATCCTCCGGCCAAACCATCTCAGTCCAGCGACCACTAACACCAGTACAAATATTAGGGTTTGGAATACGAGAATCCCTAAACACAACATTATTTTCGCTGGCGACTTCACTTCTTACAAATATATTTGCGTTCACTTTGCTTCACGACCATTGTAACAAACTCATCAACGAATCCGCATTCCTTTAGCCAGTTTTGAGGGATGTATTTCTCCGATACGTTTACAAGTCTCTTCAGCATGCACGTCTCACCACAAAGGTTTGATTTTACCTCGTAAAACACATGCCCGTTAGTTTCATTTCTATGGAAAAATTTCACGAAATACCCAAAATTTCGGTGATAATGCAGTTCAATGGCTAGCGCAGAACAAAGCTCAGGGGCTTCCTTAAGAAAAAAGTTTTCAGGTCAGTTACAATATTCTGCAGTTTACCTCAAACGGAATTTGCCAAGTGCTGAGCAGCGCGGTCAATGTGGTATCATGCCCTGAAAGAAGCCGAATTTTCTGACGATGGTCAACAATCCCGACAATGTAATTATGCATTCGCCGGAGAACATTGTTGACCAAAGGACCTGCTCGTAATCGTTTCAGGAAGTCATTTTCAAAGAGTCCGTAGCCAACTCTCTCATGGATTTTGAGGATTCCATCCCAGACGGTTGGGGTTACCCATGAGGGAACGGTAAGGTTGTGGAGTTTCTGAAAGAAGAACATAGGGAATTTCGATTGCCAGGAACATATTTCCTACATTTAACGACAAACTCTTGCAAACTTTTTGTACAATTATTATCCCGACCGTATAAAAATCTCACCAAAACATTGATCGAATCAGCAACAGCAAAAACATCTTCCAAGCCCAGGATCTCTTTAGATGAATTAGAATGCTTGGCCATAATTGTCAACAGGTTGCTGTATTCATCTCGGAGTTTCGTAAAGTCCTCTTCTTCTTGCAAAACTCGATCCCTCTCTTTCTCCGCATTTGAACAAGGTGTGTGGTAGTACATCTCCTATAAAAATTCCGATGCATATACGTTTGTAAAATTTACTTTGTCATTATATTTGGACTTCATTCTGATTCCTTGTTCGATGAATCCACTGGCGTTGAAAGTAGCTCCGAACATCCCTCCTAAGACCCCTTGTGCCGTAGAGATTGTCCGGCCAAAGTCTGAGCTCCGCACAGAAACCTGGCCTTCTTTGAAGGTAGGGGAAATAAACCCGGCATAACGTTTTTTGATGACTTCTCCTAGATAATAACCTTGCGATAGGCCGAGACTGGTCAACTGATCAGGGCCTAGCCTTGACCATTCTCGAGGAACACCACTAGGAACATCCACGGAGAGCTTTTGGGGAGTCCGGTCGCCGTGACGGAAAACCTGGAATGGAATTTGATACCATCATTCTAAATGACATTTTCAGACCAATTAGCTAGGAAAAACAGGAAATGTGGTGGTAGAATTATGACCCAAACATAGCAAAAATTTCACAAAAGGTATTATTACTAATTACTTGTCAAACTATCTAAGCTCATGACGAGGCGCCAAGAATCGTCAAAATACGCCGGATTTTGGTAACTTTTAATTTAAAAATCCAAATAGGCCCTGCATAGCTTAAGATAGAGTTGTTGAAATCCATGACAAAAGTTCGTTCAAAATCTGCAGATTTAAATCTGTTCTATTTCATTAAGACGAGAAAAAAAAATCCAAAAAAGATGATTCCAGGGCCTTTCCCATTATTCATTACTTTGTGATGTAAATGACAAAAGTTCAAATGCTAGAAACACGTACCACTTGGACATAAATCAGTGTTCTCTGCTCAATCTGAACATCATCCCCTACATCTGCATCATCCACAGCTCCAGTCCTCAAAATCAGAGCAAGTATGAAGAAAATCCAAAAACCCGCAGTCATCGATAAAATGCAAACTGTTGACAGGAGCGCCCCCAGCCACAATTGTTTTCGGAATTTGCCCAAGCGATTCACAAAAGGATTTGCATAAATATTTGGAAATTAGGAAAACTCCAAACTTCACTTATTGAGTGTTTTTTTCCCGAGGAAAATGGCATTTCGTATATTTAGAGCAAGCTGATTACAATCTATAGCAAGGATGGGGAAGAAATTACGTTGGCTTATAGCTATATAGATTTAACGTTCCCCACGTCATTAGTTCAAAGTGAGCGTTTATATTGCGCACAGTTTGTGTTGTAAATCTTATTGTACCATATTGCATAGTGGGATAGAAAGAAAATGGTTGAAAAATTGAGCGCAGCTCGATAAATTAGATCATAGTCAAGATAGTAAACGGCTTTTGAAGGCAAGATCTCAAAAATATTAAGTAAGCGGAGACAGACGTTTTTGGAAATTTATAAAGCGTTGAGGAAAATGAATGCTGACTATAAGTCCAAGATCAAGAAAATTCAGAAATATCTCCAATCAGCCATCATGTTTTATTTATTTTATATTTTCTAGCCAAAATCTCAAATGCAAAGAACATTGTACCAACGAAAAGGCCACCACCGCACATCAACAGCACTCCCAGATATGAGTTTAGACCTAAAATCGCAAAAATAATCTCCTAGATATTCGATGATTTCATACGTAAAGGATCTCCCATTTTGAAATGTGTGCAGTTGTTCAATCGCTCCACACGATATCTCTCTTCAACCCTTCTAATTTTGGCTCTTCCAATCTTCAAAGCTTGATTTAGCTTTTCCAAATGTGGAAAGCCCTTCATAAACAAGAAATGACTGGTCAAGGGAGGTGATCCAACTTCTAATTTAGCGATTTCGCAATTCATCGTGGCTAGGTATGCGGCGTATTCATCTTCTTGCGCCACGAGAACGGCGTTTTCCTGCAACACTGCTGCGATGGCTTCTGAAATTCGGGGAGGTAATGAATGGAAATGTGGCACATGTCAAATTCCTGAAAAGCTCGCGCTTTCCGGGACCATACCGCGATCACATTTTCAGACATTTGCATTTACATTGCAATTTAACGTCCAGTATTCCCTTACCTTCCGCATTATCATAAAAGAAAATGGTTCCCTCTTTCTTCTTCATCCCCGGAATCAGCGGGTATCGGTCATTCTTATCCTTGATCCATTCATTTTTTGTCGTTGTGATCAGCCGCCTACGGTTGTGTAAAAGGTCAGATTTCATGCTGTAGACCATTTCCTGACTATTCGAGTCCATCCGGACCATGATTGAAAGGAAATACGAGGTAAATATTCCGAGGATGATAACACATTGGAAAAGGGCAAATATGAGGAGAAGGAGGTTTCCGGAGACCAACCGGAATCGGGGACCAGCACTCTGGAGGAGCTGCAAGCTCAGCACTTGCCAGATCTTCTAAAAAGATATACAAATTTAATCAAAATTTAAGAAAATCTGAGCGTCCCAGGTCCCTTGTCAAACCATCAACCTCTCCAAAGTCGGACTCACATCAATTAAAGAACTGTTGTCATGCAGATATCTCCGTTGAACCACTTGAACCAATGCGCATAGAAAACATTGAATCGCCAGGAAAAAGAACATGGCCATCCAAGTCCGGCTATCATAGACCTTAAACATATTCCACCAATTAGCTCCAAAGTCTTCGTCATACACGTAGAACTTGAAATTCAGCTGCTGCAACTGTAAAAGTAGAGTCAACGCGACCTACGTCATACACATTGTCACTGATGTCGAACTCTTCCTCGAGACTGCTACTGTATTCCAAAGGGACGGCGGCAGTGTCAACGGTGCCATTCAGCATCATCTCCTTGATCATTGGAACAAATGCGGTGATTGTCTGTAAGTTGTCAGTAAAGGCAATGCATTAAGATATTGAATTTTGTCACAAACAAGATAGTTTTTCTTTGAGGAAAACGATCAAGCCTTATTTCTTTTGAGGCCTGAAATCGATAATCCAAAAATTTATTGATTTGTAAATTTTTCGGTTTTTTTAGCTTTAAAGTTCTGTGTGTTCGATCTTTATTAATCCAACAGATTAGTTTTTGGACTCACCTCTGTATAGGAAACCCCTGCATATTTCTGGTTGTGTATAACTATGGGTTCAATTTTGAAGTTGGCAATGTCGGCAACAATTCCCAAAATCTGAAATAAAATCATCATTTTGTAACATGTACAGCCTCTGTTAATTGTAAGCTCAAAAAATGAAAGAAATGTAAAGGAATATTAAAAATAATAATCATTTTGATCACCAGGTATACATAAACATAGCTCAAAAGCTCGTACCTCATTTACGATACCGGGCAAAATACAATTTGGTCGTAGTTTGAACAGCGGGGCATTTGGACAGTCATTGTTGGAGTAGGGAAAGTAATTGGTGATTACAATTCGGAGGACCGTCGAGTTTGTCATAGAGACGGAATATTTGTTGAATAGACGCCAAAATACGTCAAAGATTTATTTTGAAACCACAAATTGTCGGGATGACGTTGCAGCGGCTGCAAAAAAGATTTTTAAGATGCTATTATAAAAATTACGTATTCTGTAAATTTCTCGGCATTTTTTGATAAAAATGACCAAAGAAGTATCACGGTAAATTTCAATTTTACATACTTGAAAGAAATTACAATTTTTAGCGAAAAAACGCAAACCAAGGTCAGAGAGTACGAAGATGGATGATTACTTATAAATAGTACATCGAGTTTTACAACCAGCACCCTGAGGCGTCTACAATAAAGATGGGTTCTACAGAGACCTTGTACGCCCAGATACTATAAAATTGTTCGCAACGGCAATAGCAAAAATAATTCGCACCTCGCAGTGTTCGCCTATTGTGTTCATAATAGCAGAAAACCCTCCTGTAAGCAAAACAAGCCCAAAATCCCAGTCCGAATACAACTATAAAATCAAGCCAAAGCCCCAACCTGAATCGGCTCTAAAAAGGGCAACAAACAGAGTAATACAATCCATACAAGTCATTTGTCCCTCCGGAAGTAAGCATCTACCAATTGTAGGGTTCAAGAAGCACAAAAGATCTAAAGTATCAAGCCAGTTTATTCAGATGTAACCACAAAAGTCAGTCTACTCCTTCTTCTCCTCCTCCTTTTTATCGTCGTCCTTCTTTTCTTCGCTCTTCTTCTCTTCTTCCTTCTCCTCCTTCTTGTCCTCCTTCTTTTCGTCCTTCTTTTCATCCTTCTTCTCCTGGAAATAAAATTATAAATTACTGCCCTGATTCTCGATGTAAAAATCGCAGTTAGAAAATGCTACATGACCCCAAACTTCAATTCAATAAATCATCAAAAAATTCCCAGACCCAAACAAATCAATTTGAGTCTTCGATTTTCAAGACTGACAGCACCCTAATTTCCCCAGAAAGTCAGCTCACCTCCTCCTCCTTTTTCTCCTCTTCCTTCTTCTCGCCGTCCTTTTCCTTTTCTTTTTCCTTCTCCTCCTTCTTGTCCTTCTTCGAGGCCTCCTTCTTATCTTTCTTGGAGGCATCCTTCTTATCCTTCTTGGACTTTTCGGACTTCTTCGACTTGTCCTTCTTGGAGCCCTCCTTCTTGGAGCCATCCTTCTTGGATTTTTCCGACTTTTCCTTCTTGGATCCGTCCTTCTTTGAGGCCTCCTTCTAAAAGAAAAATATTTACGTAAAAATACCAAAAGCGATGTCCAAAATCACTCAAACACGTACCTTCTCTTCCTTCTTTTCCTCCTCCTTTTCCTTGTCGCCTTCCTTCTTCTCTTCCTCCTTTTTCTCGCCCTCCTTCTTCTCTTCTTCTTTCTTCTCACCATCCTTTTTCTCACCGTCCTTTTCTTCCTTCTCTTCCTTCTTTTCTTCACCCTTTTTCTCCTCTCCTTCCTTTGCTGGTTCGCCTTCCTTCTTCTCGGCTTTTTCGGGTTCTTGGGTCTTGGCTTCAGCTGGGGCTGGAGCACCTCCAGCTGCGGGAGGAGCTGCGCCCGCAGCTGGAGCGCCAGGGGCACCGGCAGCGGCGGGGGCGCCAGGAGCAGCGGGAGGGGCGCCAACCGGTTTATTGGGAGCTGGCTGAGGAGCCTTCTTCCTGGAAATGGGAAAAATAAGGAAAAACGCTCTTAACTCAGTTAGTTGAAAAGGGTTTTTTTGCTTATAGCTAATTGTAGAAATGAGGCTATTACATAGTTTTTATGTAAAAAATATCTTTTTATTCGCTGAACATCAAAAAACCGTATTTTAGGTAAAAGTAAGCGAGAAATCAGTTATTCTAAATTTCCAAGGCATCCCCCCTAACCGTATCAAAAGATAGTATCTTTCAAGTCTACTACAGCATCCCCAAACTCACTTCTTGCCGCCACATTGGACGAGAGCGACGATGGCTAGCGGCGCGACCAGTTGGACGAGGGCCAACAACACGGACAACGACATCATGGGTCAGTCGCGAGAGCGGAGCGGGATGGTCGACCGTTCCCCACGGAATAAGTCAGCGAATGAGGGCGCTCACGCGTTTTTGGAGCCTTTTCAATTTTCCACAAGATTATGCAAATTTTCGAACTTGTCGAAGAATTTGGGAAATTTTTGTAATTCTTGCTTGCCTTTCACGCGTTTTTTCATTCTTTTCCGATTTTCGAGGATTTCCCGCATTTCTCACGGCTTCCCCAAAACAACAAAGATTGACCTATGATATATGGCATACTATGTCACAATTAAAAATAAAAATGTGAACGAAGAAGTGGAGTTGTGAATGTAATACATGATTTGAGTTTATAGACACCAAAGACGACAAAAAAGCGGTCAACGTTGCCTGAAGTTACGGCATCCGAAAAATGCTGATTTTGGCAATTTAGAGCGGCTACAGTATCCTTTGAACTAATTGTAAGAGTCAGAGTAAAAATCGCCCATTACCACAGAAAATATAATACATTGTCTTAGCTACATTTTGTTTTATGGAGTACTGTAGGCTATTTTTGGGGGTTTTTTCCTCATTGTAATAACCTGTTTGAAATTGACGTCCAATTGCGGAAAATGCAGCTCAGGCTTGATAAATGTTAGTGACACTCAGACCGGGGCGGTTGTAACGGCTTACTCGGCACAAAGTTGCCTTACACCTCAGGATCAACTGTTACGATAGTCTTGCATCTCACCAAGATCGAATATTTTTAATACCACCTCGAAAAAAGAACCGTAACGAACACGAATTCTTGTGGTTTTTTTGTTCAACGTGAGCAAGCCATGATTTTAGATGAAAATTTATAGCGAAGCGGTCGGAAAAATAGCGAAATGTCCAGGAAAATCGCTTCCGGATACGAATGTGTTCACAGTGCGAAGTCCTCAAAACGACAGCCAGGTCGACTGGGTCATGACGAGAGCTGTAAGGAGCGTGAGGACTGTTCAAGTGATCGCGGACGAGCTGGAAATCCAAAATTTAAGAGTCGTTATGGGTGGAAAATTGTTTCAAAAGATGGGAATAAGAAGAAAAGCATGAAAAAGACCGAGGAAAAGGACAAGAAAAGCCCGGTAGGAACAGTGGATATTGTCTTTCAGTTTCATATTTCTTATTCCACATCAAGCCTATTCTTTTAAAATCGCAGTTTCAGGCCAGTGTACCATCAATTTTGAACATAGGCCCGCAAAAATTAGACTCCTTTGAAGAGCCAGCGGTGCCCGCTCCACTTCTATCATTTGATAGTATCCTCAACGGAACCAAAAATATCATCAACCTAGCCCATGAAAATGTAGAACGATTGTTTCTTCAAGCCGCTTTGGGCGTTCAAAATCTGCCTCCTGGCACGGACGAGGCCATTACTCTGAACTACCGCGATTTTTCCAATTGTTCAAGCAGGAGTTTGACACCGTAAGAGGAGAGATTAAAACACGATTTTTGAGTCAGGGCACCAGCGGTGGTCTTAGGAAAAAATCGATTTTGAGATTTTTGGCTTAAAATAGTCGGTAGCACTTGTGGAAGAAAAGCTAAAAATATTTTTGCCCAATTTTGCCCGGAAGGCATATTTTTTTACAAAATACGTTTTTACACTTCAAAGCCTCTGGTGGCCGATGTGATCCGATCACAGAGATCAAACCTTGCTTACAGGGGTTTTTGACACCCAGGAATCTGAAAATCGTAGCATTTTTACCGTCAGATTACTGTAACATGGTCATACTGTAATCCGGTCGATAAAAATCGACGATAACTTCTTTAGATCAAAAATGCCACAGGATTTTATTGCAGATTCGGAATCAGCATAAAATTCTGCTTCGGATACATGTAAAATATGTTCAAAATTCCGTGGCCCAACCTCTGTAGTATAGTGGTTGTGCGCCAGGATTATCAATCTGGCGACCCAGGTTCGATTCCCGGTGGCTGCAAATGGCAGAAAATGGACTATAAAAGGGCGGAAGCTTGGAAAAAAGGGAAAATAAATTACAGAAAATTGATTTTATGCTACTTAGGACCAGTTTAAAGGTTTTTGCAAGAATTCCGCATAAATTACGGTTTTTATGGAAAACGCCTCACAGCATTCGTAAGATCGCCCCAAATGGCAACTAAAGAGTTATGGTGAATCTACATAACGCTTGCTATCCAATGTTCATCATATCCGCCGAGGAATGCAATACAAAACAAGGTAAAACAGTTATTTAATTTTCAGAAGGAAGCACGCATGTTACAGCCCCGTAGTTTAGCCTCTGTTCCTTACCAACTGAGTCTCCATGTAGATTTATCATTAGAGCGTCCACGCGCTCCGTTTTTCGTGGGATACGCAAGACGGCCTAAGTTTTACAAGCTGTGTTATCCCGGTGCTGTTAGGGAATCTTATATGACTTTTTGTGAATCTTATATGACTTTTTGGTCAAATATTGTTCCGTTCGATAAACCTCGGCCGCAGCTCGCCTTCTTAAAATCCCGAATTTGAAAGAAAACCCAGGCTATCCCAAAAATTTAACGAAATATGCAGAAATGGCCTTATTTCGTAGTAGGAAGCCGCAGTAACCTCTTCTGTAAATTTTAACCAGATTGCTCCACTTTCCGGTAAGCTATAAGGCGTTTTCCGTAAAAACCGTAATTTATGCGGAATTCTTGCAAAAACATTTAAACTGGTCCTAAGTAGCATAAAATTAATTTTCTGTAATTTATTTTCCCTTTTTTCCAAGTTTCCGCCCTTTTATAGTCCATTTTTTGCCATTTGCAGCCACCGGGAATCGAACCTGGGTCGCCAGATTGATAATCCTGGCGCACAACCACTATACCACAGAGGTTGGGCCACGGAATTTTGAACATATTTTACATGTATCCGAAGCAGAATTTTATGCTGATTCCGAATCTGCAATAAAATCCTGTGGCATTTTTGATCTAAAGAAGATATCGTCGAATTTTATCGACCGGATTACAGTATGACCATGTTACAGTAATCTGACGGTAAAAATGCCACGATTTTCAGATTCCTGGGTGTCAAAAACCCCTGTAAGCAAAGTTTGATCTCTGTGGTCGGATCACATCGGCCTCCAGAGGCTTTGAAGTGTAAAAACGTATTTTGTAAAAAAATATGCCTTCCGGGCAAAATTGGGCAAAAATATTTTTAGCTTTTCTTCTACAAGTGCTACCGACTATTTTAAGCCAAAAATGTCAAAATCGATTTTTTCCTAAGACCGGGCCCCACTACTGGCTGACGCAGTGACTCAAAAATCGTGTTTTAAGGCTTGAATTAGGTGTTATGAACATTTTTTGGTGAAAAACCCGACCGAAAATTCCTAGTTTTGGTGATAAGAAGAAAAAACTTTCAGTTTTAGAATTTTTACGAATATTCGCCGAAAAAAGTGTGAAGTCTTCATTTTCAGTCCATCTTTACATCTGAACCCATCTTTACCACCAAAGTCACCCAAAACTTCGAATGCCCCCAAGCCAACAAAGACTCCATACTCAAGTCCCAGCTATTCATCGGAACGAATGACCCCAAGAATCTTGGAATCCGGCACTCTAAAGTCATCGTCGCCCTGTGAAACCCCCACCGACAGTTTCCTCCTAAAACCGCCTCCAAACACTCCAAATTTCGATGTCGTTTTCAAACCCCTATCAGACACCAAATCCGATGGATCTCTAAGAGAAACCAACGCCAAAACGGCGGCCATGTGTATACTACAAGGACTGGGATTGGTGGGGAGTACGATGAGACATCGAAGTCCAGTGAGTAGCATGAGAATCAAGGTAGGGCAGAATTGGGGTGCCCAGGATATTAATATTTTAGGCACATGGAATGATGGGAGAAGACAGTACGAATGAAGACATTGTCCCGGTCAAAGATGCCCGTCTGGCCAGCTTCCCAAAGGCTTATAGGGTCTGCTTGAATGATGATAAGGCGTGTCAAAATAAAAACAACGCTTCATCAAACAATTCGGGCCAGAAAATTGAAGCTCCAAAAACTTGTGCTCCATGTAAGCAAATTTTTTAAGTTTAATATTACGCTAAATTTATTGAATTTGTGATGTCTTTTCAGCGATGATAGCTGCCAGGACCACCGAAAATGGCCTCGACATCGTTGTGAAGCTAATTCTCACGGTTGGAAAATACAGTAAGCCAAAATTTTAATCTTCATTTTTTTGTTCCATGTAACTAACTTCAAGCTAATGCATTTCTGTTCCAGAGACCAAGCCAGTCCAGCTGAAATTCCGTGAAGGCGTCGATCGACCGGCCGAATTACTCATTGACGGACAGAGCGTTTGGACCGGTGAGAAAAACGGCGGGTTTTTGGCTGAGAAAAAAGACACCTGAACATTTCACCCCATTTTTTGTGAGTAAACCAATCGTATAGCCGGAATATACTCGGAAAGTTGACTCGTAATTTAAGTTGTAACTGACAAAAACTACCGAAAACCTTAGAGTAATCTCTTATTGATCATGACCAATCAACAACAAATTGCAAAAACACCCGTTTTACAGATTGAAAAGTTCTGAATATTCAATGTCATCTATTGAATTGCGGAGCTAATGGGACTTGTAAGGTGTCTAATTAGATGTTCTTGTTGGTGGGTTCGTATGTTGCCCCAAAAATGGCAACACCACCGACCAGTGCGGTTACAGTGAAGAATTGGGCCATAATACGGTATCTGGAAAGGAGAAAAATTAGTAAAAAATATTCATGGGAAGAGTTGGGCTTTTGTAAGAGCACTGTGTACAATTACATCAGAAAATTCTAAACACAAAAACGAATCACAAAAAAACTTACTGCATGTATTTCTGAGCGCCGAGTCTGTCGCCCATAAAGCTCTTTTTCATCATTCCCAACAAAGCGACAGTGGTCAATCCCATTCCAAGGATAACGAATGGATTACCCATGATATGTTGCGACATTCCTCCGCTTTGTTGTTTTCCACCAACACCTTTTCCCCCGGAAAATCCGATATCCGATGGGATGGCTGGGACTCCACTGTAACGATTGGACCGGTCGTAAAGTTTGTCGCTGTGGGTCGACGTTGATGGAGCGTGTTCTTGGGCATGAGCAGAACGGACGCCGAGAAGATTTTGGGCAAATATTCTCATCATCTTGTAATAGTGACGTAGCAAGGTTTTTAATTCTGCAAAATAAAATTGAGTAAAAGATTGAAAACGGCCAAATCGAGAAGAGTTTAGGACGCAAAACTCAATGGAATCACGCCACGTTCAGGTCAAACAGAATGAAACAAAAGATAAAGTGAGAGAGAGAAAGACGGGGACAGACGGACCCAAGAGAACTTTGGAGTGGGCTTTAACGTTCGTCTGAGGTCATAGGGTCCATGTCCCTCGACACGCCAAATGTTCGCTTTTCCGAGGCTTACGTAACAGATAAAAAAGACCCCATAAAAATAAAAAAAATTGCCTTTTTTCAGAGATTCATTAAAAAGTATGATAATTAAGACAAGAAACAAATAGTTTATTAAGAATCGAAGCTTGGGAAGGCTCTAAGTGTTTTCCTGACTCCGGAATTTATATTGAAAAGAAGGATCAAAAAGGTACCCTTGAAACCTGTTATTATTTCCTAAATACCAATCTATTTTTAATTTGAGATATCGAAAACAACAACAAAATTTCTAATACAATCTTCTAATACAGCTAGATCACGTGAAAAACATTTCCAGCCGCTCTACTTCCAACAAAACTTGGAAGACACCAAAGGAATTCGCACTACAACCCCTTGACCAGACTCCAATTTACTTATAAAGAATATCCCTGGTTCCTTTTCCCTTCCCTTGACCCAAAGGCCAGTTCATGCTGAGCCAATTGAGCGTAAGGAAACCCCCGTTCTCTTTTATGCTCTGAAATTTTTCGGATTTTGAAAAAAGTCACGTATTTCTCTATGTATTCTTTTTTGAAACGCCTTCTCTCTTCGCTTTTTGTGTGCTCGTTCTACTATGAGTTTTCGTCATCGCTCTCTGCTTCCTTCTGGACAGAGAAGTGTAGTTTAGACGGGAACTTTGCTGTCGCGTACGTGACATTTGCGAAGACAGCATTAAGCACATATGTATAAATAATCATCATAGTTTATAAAGGACAAGTGGACATGAATATATTTATTAAAACAGTACGGCATTAGCCCTTTTCCTTTTACTCCACAGAACAGTTTTCGATCTGTTCCTGCAAGAAAAAGCCAAAGAAAGACCCAAGGATCATGACTTGATATGATCCCACCTCCTCTTTATTGCGCAATATGATAAAACCCAAAAATTCCCAGTCTAATGTTACCTTAGGTAATCTTGTTATAAGACGCGTGTTTAAATCCTTATAATTTTCAAAACAAATTTGTCGTCAAAAAATCTGTACTAATCTCCTTGACCAGCATTTATTCGCACTGCAGATTGTGAAACTGCATGAAAGAACCAATCTCTAAAGTATAATACATGATGTTTCTAGTTTTGGTAACTAGAAAAGAGAGTCATGACTACAAACCACAACAGTTGCACGCTTCAGTAAGGTATAATTAAGAAATAACTATCACATTTGCAAACATCGCAAGACCATTAGATAAGTACATTCAAACAAAAGAGGTCGATTACGTTTCGAGTGTGAAAATATTCGATCATCAGATGAAACAAACAAAGATGACCATTGAAAGTGTTTCAATGAGCGAATCCACTAGCTACTCGTAGCTTCAGAACAAATAAACGATCGTATAAATACGAAACACATTACGCATTACGCCGAGAAATTATGAATCAGAAATGCGTGTTTCCATATTTAATGTTACAACTGTAATTTACACTTTTACAGTTCTAGTTGCGTTTTTGGGCCAGAAAGTTGCAGCGGGTAAGAAAAACCTTCATTCGTTTAATCGAAACCATCTTAAATAACACTTTTTTGTTTAGTGATTTCCAAGCAAGATTACGTTCTCAACATGGACAAAGTCCCTCATTTATTCTATCAAACAACTATTACAACGATCCTAAAGGTATCTTTAACTCAGTAAACAGCTTATTTCATCCTCCATGAATTTAATTACAGAGCAAAGCCCGAGAAGATCTTCAAATGTTATCTCAGACGGAAAGAGTTGCCTACAAGCAATGTGAGAGTTCAGCGAGAAGCCTTCTCGATCTTGCCAAGTGCGTCTCAAAACTAATCCGAATGAGAAGTCGCCATCAACACAGTGTCCGCAATACAACAAGGGTCGACTTTAACATATCAACAAAAAGAATATTAATTCCAAACCTTGAAACCCAAAGTATCGTGAAGAAACGAGCCAGGATTGTCAGGTTGCATGAGCATCATGAGAGAATTAGAAAGAGATTGAGAGCCAAGAAGTTGCTGAAACGAGAAGGTAATCTCTTTGACCAACCATAACGTTTCTTTTATACTTTTTTTTTCAGTTCAATCCGAAGAAAATGATAACAAAAATCACAGAAAAATACCAGAAAACGTCAAGAAGTTACGCCGACTCCAAAAATATGTCAAACAGGTAAACGAGTGTAAAACCTATATGAAACATCTGGAGGTTCAGAATGAAAGGTGGATCTTCAGCATCGAAACCAAAAACGTTTAACTAATTTTTCAGGATCTTCATGACTCAAAATGTTAATGCCATGTATCACACGGAATCATCAAGCCAAGACAACCACATGGACAAAATTCTAAAATTTTTGGATTCCAATTTCTCGTCGATTCAGATTTTATCACCAAAACTACTGGAGATTCTACCAGATATCGATGATGACCGCAATATATTAAGTTCTCCCAGTTTACTAGGCCTTTCTGAAGACCAACCATTATCGCTTCCAAGAATACTAAAATTAAGTACTCGGAGTGACTATGAGACCCTTGAATGGCTCAACATCATCATTCGAATATCGGGGGTTGAGAAAACCTTATCAATGATTACTGAAAACTTAGAAAGCGAAATGAAGCATGTCGAAGAAAGCATCATTCCCAAGATCGAGGAGATCAAAAGGATGGAACAAAAAGTCCTAGCTCTTCAAGACAGCTTGAATCGAGCTCAAAAGGAAGCGTTGAGGAAACAAGGATACACAAGGATGACTCTAGAACAAGCAAACAAATTTTATGTGGGCGACGAGGAGCTAATGCAAGTTATCAAGGAAGAAGAGAGTTTGGAAGAGATGATCCACGAGATGGCAGAGTACAAAGGTAAATCAGGAAACCAGACACCGGGTCATGCGGCAAAAATGACGCATTAGGAAACATTTGAAATGTTTTCTAGAATATATTGCGATGCATTTTTGCCACATGATCCGGATCTCGCCCTGGACTGTAATAGCCTTCCTTTTAGCGCCCAAACGTTCGAAACGTCAAATCCTTCAACTCAGACTACTCCAACCTTACGCCTTCGTGAACAAACAACTAATCACCTCAATTCTTGGACTCAATCTTCTCTCACCTTATGCCTTCTATCAAACAATACTGGCCCCAAAAATTCTTTCCGTAAGCACTCAACTATAATTTACACCCCAACTTATTTTCAGATGGACGTCTTAATTCCCCGAGCATTCATCTCCTCGGTATTATCACCCAGTCTTCTAATTAGCCGGATCCTATCCCCTTCTGCCTTCCGCTACAAACTTTTGTCGCCTTCATTTATGTCCGCAGTCATTCTTACCCCCGAAACTTTCAAAGCAAGTATTTTGTCGCCAAATGCCCTGGGTGCAAGAGTATTATCTCCAGACGTTTTGACAACCAAAGTTTTATCTCCATGCAAGTTCACACCACCTTATTCAAACGCATTTTTTCTTTTCTAGCTCTGGGCTCACTAAAAATAAATTCACCATCAATCGGAAGGTTGCTTGTTTTATCTCCCTCTTTATTTGGTACCAATATTCACAGCAAAAGTCGCATGGTCATCCAGGTATGATAATTTTGCAACGAAAACAAGCATGTTCAAACACGCCGTAATTTACACCCTTTTTTAGATTCTATCCCCATCCATTATGGGAATAAGCATCAATCCCAGAGATTAAAGGAAGCGTAGCTGGAAACAAACCAATAAAAAAATACAAAATCATATGACACTTATCTTTATTTATCACATCATCTTGTTTTCTTTGAAAACATATAACAAACTAGAAGAAATACAACCAGGAATTTTTGAGGTTACACGTCATAAGTCTTGAAAACCAATAAAAACAATAAAAAAAAAAAGGCGGCTTTGGTAAACAGATCAACTCAAAAATGAGTTCAAACTTAAACTAGTTTTGTTTCTAACACACTGGTACTAAATCGGGCACTGTTTAAACTTCATCCCGTCCGATACCATGCAAATCTTTGGTCAGTTTACTGTGTATGAAGCAAAAATCCTCAATGAAGCTTGACGATTCCATCGTGACAGTACTCATAGGATCCATCCTGTTCATTCTTTCTCTTAATGAATTCTCCATGTTCCACGCAGAGCTTTTCAATGATCTTTTCTTCAATTTCGATTCCTCTTTTCACTAGGTCTTCAGTCAACTTCAAGGGATCGATTCGATCGGCTTGGACAAAAGTCACGTCAGTTTTTCGATTAGCCAACATGTTCGCAATGACCAAAGAGTGACCGTACTTCTTCAGCGCGCTTTTTGCCTTGGGGATGAGCTTTTCGGGGTCGGTTTCGAGCTGGAAAAGGATAAAAACAATATTTAATGGAAAGTAACGGTGAACAAAACAAAACACAACCTAAAAGAGAAGACGCTCACCTTGAACGAGATAAGGAATGAGTTCGGGACAACAGCAGTGACCAGGCGGTCCAGGATTTTAGTCACGACACTTAGTCGTAACTGGAGATCTCCTTCGTTTGACTGGATCTTGTGGGTTGGCTAAAATGAGATGAATTCAACTAATCAACAGAAGCCCTAACCCTCAGAATACAGTCACCCTAAACAATTGCGTACTCTTAATTTAACTCACCAGTTCTTCCTGCTTAATGCAGAAGTCGGAGACGGCAGCCGCCAAATATATCAAGGCCCTAGGTCCCATTCGATTGACCTGCCTGCAGATCAGCTCGATCTCATGGAGATATTGATCAACAGAAGTGAAGGTGCAGAAAAACAAATGCTTACTATACTTCTTGTTGTCCACAATTGCCTTCTCGACTTCTGGAGACGGAGTGACTAAAATTGAGGTTCAATAAAAAAAAAACTTTAAACCTACAAATTAGCTTTCCTTCTTCATTCAGCACAAACTGGTCAAAGAGATTTGGAGCATGTCTAGAGAATGGTTTGAGACTGTTTTCTCGATAGAAGAAGATGACGTTGTAGCCATGTCTGAGGAAGTATTCGGCACTGGCCGAGCCTCTCGTGCCTTGGGAAAAGTTGTCGATGAATCGGACCGTATTCTTCTCCAACGGAACAATTGTCCCTCCACTCTGAAATGGAAGAGGATTATGTTTTCGCGGTTCGAATATCGCGAGCAAGTGGTTTTGCGCAAAGCCCCGAAATTATTAGACCACCCGCAAAAGCGTCCGCGGTGAATCGAGAAACTCTCTCGATTCCGAATACTACTTTGCGTATATCCGCGTCGCTCTTAATGTCAGTCAGCGGGGGTGGGCTCTAAAATATGGGAAGAAGGAGAGGCAAGTCTGCACGCGGGTAAAGCTGTAACTAAAGCCCAATTTTGAAAGGCGTAAAGCGCAGTTTTCTCCAAAAAAAGTTATTTACTAGACTTTTATAGGTATTTGCAATTGATTCAAACGTATTAGTAACGAAAAAGCGGCAAATTAATATTGAAACACCGACGAAGTCATATTACAACAAATACTTCAAGATTTCCCAAAATTTTTAATTATACACCATGGGTAATACCGGAAAGCCAGTTATGCCACATTATAACCAACAAAACAAAGAGAAAAGTCTTTCTGGATCGCATAGAATCCTATTTAATTCCAGACGATACAAAAATTGATCAAGAATACAAATTACTTAAATTTCGAATATTCACCTCTACCCTAAACCTCATAAGAACAAATTACCAGAAACCTTACCGTGATCAATGCCAATCTTCTCCCATCCGCAATTGTACGGTTCACAAACTCTTCGACATTTTTATCCAATACGGCATCTGCTTGACACATGTTGCAACACGACCAGTTCTCAACAAAAACACAAAAGGAACCGACGATTTGACTTGAAAAAGAGTATCAGACCGTGTGCTCCAAGGTCAACAGGGCTGAGAACGTCAATCCGCTTAGTCTTTTTATGGTACGACTTGTTGTAATGTGTTGTGACCACGTTTTCCTTCCATAAACAACTCAAAACACCAAAAAACACCAGACGCCCGACAATTTCCAGATTTTCGCCATTTTTTATGAAATGAGACAAGTGCTTCTTTTTCTTTTTTATTGTGAAAGAGCAAGACTTGACCCAAAAGTGCGTGCGAACTGCGGGAAATTTTATGCGAGCCCTCTCGCTGCGCCCGTGGAAAGCCATCGCTTCTCTTTTTATTTGTGGTGAATACGATGCGTTCGCCTAGTTTTGACCGGCATATACAGAAATGTACCACGAATAACCTTAATTTTTCAGTGATTTTTTGATGTACCTTCTTTATTACGTGATTATCGGGGTTTCCTTGCGATTTTCTTAATTGTAAACCTTTGTTATTAGCAAATCTTTTGACTCTTTTTTCGATAATAAATCGTGGAGCTTCTTTTTACGTTTCTATGCCAAATTTACGTTTTATTCTTACAGTGCGAAATGCAGCGTCCGGTTCCGACAATGAACGGACCCCAGGGTTATCAACAAAATCGTTATCCGCCAGGTCCTCAAATGGCCGTGCAGCCGATCCCTCCAGGTTCCCAGAATTCGGCGAGAAGAACATTTATGCCACAACCTCCAGTTAATGGACCGACATCAGTGCCTGGAGGGCAGTTTGGCAGCAGGCCAAGTCAGAATCCAAGGAAAAGAAAGCGGTTTCAAGACAAAATTGTTCTTCCTGAGGTATGCTTTAGGCATGTTTGTCTTTGTTGTTTTAGGAATTCTTGGATGGAGAGAATCGTTCGTTTATTTATGAAAAAATATTTTAGGTAGCTCAGCTTGTTCCAGAAGTTGAGGCTTACATGCAGTTGCTGTCGTTTGAGCAGAAATTGGATAAGACTTTGCGGAGGAAGAAGTATGACATCCAAGAAGCTTTGAAGAGACCTATGAAGACTCAGCACAAGTTGAGGATCTACGTTTCTCATTCGTTTATTCCTGGAACTGAGCCTGAGGTGAGTTTACTCAATTTTTTATTTGGTTTTGCTATCTTTGACATGGTTTGGATGAATTTGTAAACAACATGATCTTATTTTCAGAAGGAAGGAGATGAAGGGACAGTCCCAATGTGGGAACTCAGGGTTGAAGGTCGTTTGATCGACGAGCATGGCGATAAAAATGCCACAACACCGAGTAGCAGTGCCCCAGGCACAAAGCAAGGAGGAAAGAGAAAGTTCAGCTCGTTCTTCAAATCTTTGGTCATCGAATTGGACAAAGATATTTATGGCCCTGACAATCATCTTGTCGAATGGCATAGAACTCCAACCACCAATGAAACCGACGGATTTCAGGTAAATATTGAATTTGATATTTTGTTGTCTTAGGTTTTATAAGAAGGTTAGAGGGCAAATACATGATGATTTTTTAGGTGAAACGTCCGGGAGACCGTGATGTCAGCTGTACCATCCTCCTGCTTCTGGATTATAATCCAATGAAATTCAAGTTGGCTCCTAAGTTGGCCAAACTTTTGGGTGTAGCTATGGAAAGTCGTCCCAAGATCATCGAACTTCTCTGGCAATACGTCAAAGCCCATAAACTTCAAGATGCTGCTGATAGAGATGTGATCAATTGCGACTCGTACTTGGAACCCATCTTTGGAGTCAAAAGAATGCGATTTATGGAAATCCCCCAACGCTTGACTCATCTTCTCCATCAGCCAGATCCATTGGTCTTAACTCATACGATCAGGTATAATAGTGGAGAGAAGAACACTTGCTGCTATGATATTGATGTAGAAATGGATGATCCAGTCAAGGTTCAGATGCAGAACTTCCTGCAGAATCATCAAAGCATGCCGGATATTGGAGCGCTGGATCAGAGGGTAAGGAATTTTGAAGGGAGATTTTTTGGGCAGTACACTTTTTATGGTTTCCACGTGCAGTTAAATTTGATTTTTATGCGTAAAAATGACTGATGCCAAAAATAACGGGGTTTCTTCAGATTTATGATATTGTCGAACAAATCAATGAATGGAAAACTCGCCGCGACTTCTACGCCGGATTTGCTGACGATCCAAAGACGTTTATTCAAAAATGGCTGGCTTCTCAAAGCAGAGATCTCAAGGTTCGTTTTTTACATCAAGAATTACTTTTTTTTTGAATCTGAAAATTATTTTTGGTTTCTTTAGACGATCAATGAGCAACAAATGGACCAAGAACAAGAGCGCCGAGCCGACCATTACTATCAACCTCATATCCAAGAGGGCGTTTTCAGATATCTCTATGGAAAAGTTCAACAACGCCGACAGGAACTTGAATATATGCTTGGGGTGAAGTAAACAGCCCGTGAGAGTAACTTATTCATTTATTAACAATATTTTCCACTCAGTTTGTATCTCCAAAACGATCTGTAAGCAGTAAATTTGGCGAAATTTTTACTGTAACATAAAATGTAATTGTACTGAAGTTAATAAAACAATAAATATTGCACCAAAATTTGATTTTTGAAGTGGCAGCTGATATTCGTCTCGAATAGTCAGGCTTTTTATGGGAAATTATATTGTACTAGATTTTTTTTAGTTTTTTTTTTATTTTGGTGGGTTTCTTGTATCTAAAAATTTAGTTTTTCGCTGGTTAGAATGTATGATTTTTGACCGCTTACTTTGAAAATGGGACTCTATTACCGCACAATTTGTATTAAAATTTACAAAGCAAATCTTGTATTTCTATTCGTAGTCATCAGCCACAGTTTGAAAACATGTTGGGAATTGGACTTTCAGACCAATTCGCTAACAATGAGAATTAATTTGTAGGAAACAGTATGATGGCATTTGATGAGAAAATGGATGACGAGAATTTCTCAGCGATAGATTGGCGAATTCCGGGTTATTCTGACTCATTATTCGAGTAAGATGTTGTTATTGGGCACACCCAGCTCTAGCCCTTACGTTTTTTCAAGAAAAGCAAGGGGTTGAATCTCACAATCTCAATCTCACATTGTCAGAAAGCGCTGTTTAATGCGTTGTTGTGAAGGACCACTCATCGTGTCTTCCGTTCTCTGGCAATTTTGGCACTCATATTTCTTGAGTTCCTCTGTTTTGTGCACACATAGCTTTCGGTGGATGAATTTTAAACAGCTAAAAAATAATTGGTACGAGTTACATGGAAACGGCTACTTATCATTTGGGGTTTTAGGCTAGCCAAACGATAGATCCGGCAATTAATATGATTAACATTTGGTATGCTTGCAAGACATTTGCACTTTAGTTGTCCCTCCGTTGGTTCAATAACTTTTTTCTTGCGTTAGTAAACTTATCTTGCCGGGCCGGCCGAACATCAGTGCCCGATTTGTCCCCACTGAAAGAACTAGTCACCTTTTTCCGCTTGGTCTCTCGGTAAACCGACAGCGGGAACAAAGAATACTTCGTCAACGATTGGCCAGCTCGCCGGCGAAGACATTGGGTCCTCCGTGGCCCGGCCAACTCTACTTCAAAAAAGCTGAGAGAAGGCGGACACTTCCTTCGGTGGAAACGTCTTGGTGACCAAAACATATCCAAAAAAGGCCGAATGTTTTGGTCTAATTGGTTTACTCCACTCTTTTTTTGTTTTATTACAGTCCGTCGCCCTTCCGTGATGTTTCATGTGCTTTTGGATTCTATGTGCCCTTTGCAAAGCAAATTAATTAAATAATTGTTGAATTACATAAACACCTGTTACGCGAAAGCATTCGAATCAAAAAATTGCAACCTATTGTGTCTTTAAACAATTTGCACGTTTAAGGCATGCCAAGTGATCAAGCCTCCTTATGCAATATAACCACTGCATTCTATACAAATCGAATATTCGTGGCTTTTGAAGGTTTTACCACGTTTTTCACTCTTCCGGCGTTTGTGATGCTGGGTTACATCGCATTTCGGAGTATTCGACCAACAACTCATATTAATTTTAAGGTGAGGACAAGCAGAACATTTTCGTAAAATTTTTAGATAATTCTAATCAACATTTACTGCGCGATTGCAATATACATGATTTCCCATACAGTCTCCAATTTTCGCACCTTTTTTTACCACTGCTTTTTACCCGGCAACTGTGACGTTGTAATTCATTATGGCTTCTGTGCATTGATGCGACACCCCGGAGAATGGATGATTACTGCAATATCTTTGTTACATACTTCAATTTATATTGAAAGAAGTTTGGCGACCAAATATAAGCACGCCTATGAAAAGTGTGGCTGTTTCCTCGGAGCGATTATTACTGTTGTTGTGGTAAGTTTAAACAGTTTAATTCTTTTGTTGGGATCTCTCGATTATATGCAGTTACTATTTTCAGTGGACCTTAACAGTTGTATTTAATTATGTGGCCTACACAGTTGAATGGGACGAGTATTTGAGGCTGAACTCGTATTGCATTGGGGTTACAACTCACAACATGGAAAAGATCCGGATATTGTTAGGTTGCGTTTTGGTGATGGACATTCTTGTGACGATTGGTGAATGGAGATTAACAGCATACAATAAAAAGTCAAAGTAAGTGCAACAAAACGTATCATAAAATTGTGGAGGATGACTTTCAACGGTCCTTTGTGGTTGGGTGACCGGGTGACGAAAGCGACGAATACTTTGTCAACGATTGGCCAGCTCGCCTCAACAAAGATTGTTGAATATTCTCCCATGCTGCTAGCTATTTTGTAGTAACCTATTACGGCGTTGGCAATAGAAGCATGGAAGATTTGAACAAAATAATATGTAGGGCCTTTTATTGCGGGTTTGCGTTATAAAAATAAAGGAGTTTCATTTTGTTTACATATCAGACATTTCTTAATCAAAAAACATTACATGGAATATACGCAGTTCTCCGGAGACATGACTCGTACCAACCGTAACTTTTTCAGAGTCTTCATCAACTACAGTTTGAGCCGGTCCTATCAGCAAGGCGAGAACTATCTGACAGTCCGTCTAACAGCTCCAATTTGTCTCCTGCACTCCTGTTTCTTCACTTTGTTTCTGATTATTCACATATCCGTTAGAGTCCTTATGTCATATTCAGATGGGCCAATTCGATATATTACATGGTTACTAATGTCTCATAATGTAAGTTTAATTAAGAGAATTAGAAGCTATTTCGTGCGAGGCAAGAAGTGTTCTATTGCAGATGTTCGTGCTCTCACTATCGGTGTGTTTGGCCATGTATATCTATAAAGTGAGATGGATCCAAGAGACGAAAAAACCAAAGGACTTGCAGTGGCAGAAAGATTCTCAAGCCAGCATTTATTTTACTCAGTTCCAAAAGCAGATCATGTAAAAAATTGTTTTTGTTAAAGCGTACGAAATACCTCTTGTTCAAGAGTGCACCTCCAAATAAATTAAGTATTGATGCCTTTGTTAACTAAACTTATCTATGGTTAAGGATGGCTGGCAAAGCCTTTACCGTATCATGCACCACCTCCGACTAATTTAGACACAATTATCGAGTTCAAGCAGTTGTATTATAAATTTTTATGAGCAAAACTGTTCAAATAAACACTTTGTTGTACTTTGAAGTTGTTCATTTTATAATGAGCTGAAGATGAAGTAGTTTTGTCTGTTTGTATGTATATTAACGAATGACCGACATCTGTCTCCTCGTCACAAATGGATTATCACGTGAATGCTCATTTCATGCAGCTTGCTAAACAAATAAAAAGGCAGATCGTCAATGGCCGCTTGTTGCGTCGTGAGTGCTGTATGTGCTGTATGATACTCATTACGTACTCACAATACGGAATGAAAAAGCTTTTTGCAGCATACGTTGCAAACTTGTTAGAAAAAATTTAACCTCAAAGTACTTGCAATACGTAGCTGGTAGAAGCGCCTCAATGAACTTTGGTATACGTCTTAGACTACATAAAGGGAAAGAGTTGAAATAAAGCGAGGAAGAAAAAAAATCAAAGGTGCCCTCCGCATAAATGAATTGAAACTTTCACTAAACACTTGAACTTGTACCGAGTGAATATATTACATTCTGTTGCGTGCTAATTTTTAAATCATGTTTAAGAATATTATAATGGGCTTAGGGAGAATTCATCGAATGAGACAGATGCGCTTACATCGATGACAGATGTTACTTTCAAACCGCAAGTATTCAACTCTAGATGCTTTTCGTGGAAAAGTCAGTACACGAACACTTTGTTCACAAGGCTTTGCGCAACTTAGAACCGCGAGGACAAGTCGTATCTACGGAATTTTTTGACAGTCACATTTCGATGTTTAGGGGGTTCCGAAAAGCGCGCTATATTTTCTGGATCCCCATTGTTTCACAATTAACGTTATCTTACACTCAGACTTAAGGAAGTGATTATTTAATGAAGCAACGTTGGCCCAAAGGTGAAAGCATTCCTTCCGCAGCTGTTGTGGCACATTCTTAATTTATTACTGGTAAACAGTTTGTAATGCAAGTCCAGCTACAGTGGCTTGATTATACTTTTTGAGGCCTATCAAATTTGATACCGGACACCGTTTAAAAAATAACTGCTGGGATAAGGTGTTCGTATTTGCATAGAGCTAATTAATTTGTTCTACTTTACACTCTGTTTATTGGAAATTTCATGACTTTGAAAAATTGCTGTAATAATTAGCGAAATTGAGCTATTTGACGTTCTTAATCTCGCGAATTAAATAGGACGCTAATTTCAGTCCAATGAGTGATGATCGTCGCCAAGAACTGTGCGATAGAAACGCGATCTTCTACACCAACTCTTTGTTCGTGTCCTTCGAAGCCTTTACAGCACTCTGTACTCTTCCCGCATTGGTTATGTTGGTTTGTATCGGAGTATTTAGGATTATACCATTGGTGCATATCAACTTCAAGGTAAGTTTTGGAGCGTTTTATGTGACACAAGATGACTACCCCAAGAATCTTTCTATTTTTGTCAGTATGGGGACATTATCCGTAGACTTGAAATTAGGATCTTTACTTGCTACGGACTTATATACATATATTAATCCGGTCAGTAAAGAACAATGTCTTGGCCTAGAGCATTCTTTGCCGTTAACAAGTGAATACCAGACTGAGAAGAGTTAAATGCTCCTTTACGATATAATGTTTAGATTCTTATGTTCAACACCTACATTGCAATATCAATATACATGATTTCCCATATTCTTCCGAATCTCCGGACCTTTTTTTACCACTTCTTCCGTCCGGGCGATTGCAATGTCGTTATGTCTTTCGGAGAATGCGCGGCATTAAGACACCCTGGAGATTTTATGGTCGCGGCAATATCTTTGTTACATACCTCGGTATTTGTGGAGAGGGTAATGGCGACACGGTTTAAAGAGATTTACGAACATTGCAAAGGGTATTTGGGAGCAATACTTACAGTGATCGTGGTAAGCCAAGATTCGAAGTCAGCTTCTCGAAGACGCAGTCTTAAAAATATCAATTTTGAAATATCCGTGAATTTAAACTTAAAACGAAGAAAATACACAAAAAAAGTGTATCCGCCGCAAATTGCAACACCTGTTCTTATTATTTCAGTGGGTTCTGACCTTCGTCCTAAATGCGTTAGTCTACAGATTGGACTATCAAAAATACTCGTCACTCAACTCCTACTGCTTAGGGATCACCACTGAAAATCAGGATCCTGTCCGCCGATTACTATATTTCATTTTAGCACTGGATGTGTTAGTGACGATTGGAGAACGAATATTGGCTGCTATGAATAAAAATTTACAGTAAGACAAGAGCTAAGAGTCATTAAACACTGGTTCAGAGCATATCAAAACTACACATTGAGCCGGTCGTATCAACAGGCGGAAAATTACTTTACAATCCGAATAATGGCTCCGATTTCCACGGTACATTCAACGTTTTTCACTCTATTCTTGATTATTCATATTGCGGTCAGAAGTTTAATAGTCTACAAGGACGGACCTGTTACCTTTGTGACATGCCTTCTGATGTCTCATAATGTAGGCAGGAAATGTAAAAAATGTTAGAAACTGAAACCTATTACCTTTTTAGATGTTCGTATTATCCCTCACCTTATGCTTGGCAATATTTATTCGTAAAGTTCGGTGGGCATGCAATCAACGTCGATTGTTCCACCTCAAATGTGAAAAGCATCAACATTCTGCTGTCTACTTTAATCAGTTACAAAAACAATTGAATAAAGAATAGAAAAACAAAAAATAAACGTCTATAGGGTAATTATCTAAACCACAACACATGCTTTGCCTCAAAATAGGCGGCATGGCCAAGCGAATCTTGAGTTAAGGTTCAGACTCCGCCCCTTTCCTCGAGCTTGAAAATAGGTCAACGGCCCGATCGAGGCGAATTCCCGATCGGTTGGCCAGTCGATGGGGCCGAGAGGTTAGAGTGAGGTGACTCTCGGATCGTATATCGAGGCCCTCCGACAGGATAGGGCCAAGGGGCACTCCGTGGTTTTCGGTAGTTATTTTTATTATATATTCATTATTGTAATCAACCTTTTCGATGATATTAGGTTGATTCAAAAGTTTTTCCACATTTTTTTGTGACAATTCAAAACAAAATTTCTAGAGCCTGTTTGAATGTATGTTTAAACTGAAAGCATATGTGTATGGTGTTGACCTTTGCAAAATTTTTGATTGGTAGTATTTTATTTTTTACAAGCTTCCTTTCAGAATATTTCAAAAATATTAAAAAATTCTTCGTTTGTGTCATGGTGAATTCGCGGGCCCTAGCCATTTTCCAGCCCACTAAAAAGTCTGGGAGTTTGGGTTATTCGTACTTGGGATGGCTGTAGGTTCTTCTGAATTTAGTGCTTTACTTACATCTACTCTGGTGTTTTTTGTAGCGTCCCATAAAGTTAGCCGGAGGGCAGAGTTCTCGACCGAAAGCCGATTTTTTAAAATTTTTTTGAAAGGAGTTAGATTTTTTTGACTCGGCTGCCAGTCAGGATGTATGAAGATAGTATGCTAACGATGCATTCAAAAATTCACTAACTGAAATTGTCCTATACGGTAAAAAATTAGCATAAACTGCACATTTAGGCGACTTTTTGTAATTTTTTTACTGGTATGGCAAGAGGAGCTCCAGCTTAGCGCGTCTAGAAACTGATAGTGTATGTCAAGGAGGATCAATGATTTATTAAATAACCAGAATACCGGGCGAGAGTAATGAACAAAAAACGTTTTTGTAAAAACCCCCTGAATTTCGTAAAATATTGGTAGATTTGAAAGATTCGATTTTTCTGCCGCATAGCTAAGCGCGAATGTTTAGCGTTGGCGTTGTAGTGCTACTCATACCCTACAATAACAGAAAGCGTTATCCCTTAGTGCTTCTAATAGCTTCGTCTACAGGGTCTACTTTTGCCAGACCCTACTTTTTGATTTTTCGCACTAAAAATTTTTCGGCTAGCCCTATAGCAAATTGTCCTCGATGCCATAGAGATTACATACAGGCATACCATATTCTAGAATATTAAGAAGATACAGCCACTCTAGACGTAACGCCGGCGGTTTACTTTTTCTTCCTTCGAGTAGTTAAGGTTTAACAGGGCGCTACTATTACAAATTCCTAAGTTGTAAAAAGCTGTTAATCTAATATAATCTACAAACAGCCCTCTTTCTAAAAACATATATATCAGGCACACTGGCTTCGGTTTAAATTTAAAAAAATTTTTGAAAGACATGTCGGGAAACTTTTGAATCAACCTAATATAAATACCTAATGTAAGTAACATGTCGGAATTAGACGATTCATGTACCGGCCACGCTTCCAAACTCTTGACAAATCCATTGCTCCAAAGATTGTCCTCTTGATTACGCGGGAATCAGTTCCACTTTAATCCAACGATGATAACAGCATGGTTGATGGCCATCCACCGTGCATGACCATCAATGTGCTACGGAAAACGTAATTTTTTTCAAGGATAGGGCGCGAGCTGCAGAGGTCGTGCCCGTTCATTTCTCCGATTTTAGTCTATCTATTTACATGTGTTTGGGTAAGCCGTGAGCGGTTCGTCGAACTTGTAGAAAGCTTCCTTGTCGAACTGTCTCACCCAAATCTTTCTACAAAATATGTGGGTTACTTCAGTGTAAGATATCGACGGTATTTATACAAAAGTCAAGGCAAAAATAACTACAACATTAAACGACTAGAAGTATGCAGCCCAATTAAATTGAGCCATGTCAAGGGAGTTAACTCCGCGCTTCACCTTGAAGAATCCTTGGTCGCCCCATCCGGGTCCCCACGAGTTCTTGAAGATCCAGTACTTGGTACCATTTTCTTCTCCATACCCAACGATAACGACACCATGATTGATGCTCCAACCGCCTGAGGGTTCGGCGACGTCGAGGATCCCACTCTTGTAATCTTGAATACCGCCGGCATCAATATCTAGAAAGAATATGCAAATAATAAACTTCACGCTTACAGGTTGCAATTGGTCCAACTTCATATACAACCTTGGCCAAGTTGTCCTCATCGTTCGAAGGTAAGAACTCTTCTTTTGTGATCTTGGTGGCATAAGGCTTTCCACTTGGGCAAGCGGGGACTGTGTGGTCTCCATCCCCGGAAGTAAATTTGAAATTGTCAGCGAGAGTAATTCCATTCTCGATGACGTAGTCTAAAACTCCAGGAGCAGTACCTCCATTACAACCATGGTTATGGTACTTTGAGACGTTGTTAGTACAAGCAATAACCTGTTCTTCACTCAGATGGAGAGTTTGTCCAGTATGAATGAGATGTTGACTTTCAATAACACCAACGGCACTAAATGCATAGCAACATCCACAGCCACCTTGGTTCTGCACAGGGGTAACGCCATTGTTTTCTCGCCAATCGAAGTTGCAAGGAATCTGGGTAGTGTCTCTCTTTGAACGGAGCAACTTAGAGCTGTTGATATTGCCATGGAGTTGCTTGAGGTGCTCAACTCCATTGATTCCCGTGTGTTTGGCGATGAATTCTTCTGGAGTGAGGTCTGAGAATTGGTTGACGCCAAATTTGGCCTTAGGGCTCTCCTTCTGTCTCTCCTCAATTCTTTTCAGAGTAGATTGGAATTTCTTGAAACTCTCAGAGACGTGGGTGTCATTGTGGTACTCCTTTTCGAACCTGCAAGAAATAAGCTCATACGAATGGTGTACTTACTTGGCGATGAATCCAAAAAACTTGTTGAAGTTCTTGCTGTCATCGGGCTTCAGCTTTTGACGGAATTCGGTAGAGAGCTTCAGGGATTTCTTCGCCTTGTCACTGAGTCCCTTCAAGTTATCGATGAATTCGTGGGTCTTGTTGTCCTTGAAGAGTTCCTCGAACTTGTCAAAGGCTTCTTTGTCGAAGATATCATCTAAATCTTTCTTCTCAAACTCGGTCTTCACCAGTTCACTGAGCTGCGCTTTTCCAAGCTTGTCCAACAACGAGGAGGATACTGTAGTCAAGAGAGTGACCAGAATAAAACAAGAAAGAGACCGCATTTTGATATCGGGGATATGCAGGCTTGAGTTGATGTGATAAAATTAAATTTGAATTGGCTTTTTATAGGTCTCGAACCGATGGAAATATTTACAGTTCTAAGAAATAGGCGTTGCAAAATATGAGAACATTCTCCGAATGAACGCAGGATCTGTTCAAATATGAGAGGAGGGAGATGAACCCCCAAGCCGAAGCGAACGTTATCCTGAACCGGAAATTCTCTGTTCAAATAAAATGGCTACCGAGAATTCGCTTGAAATATTTTGGGCTGTAACATGGGCCGCGGTTTCTAATTCGAATATTTACGGAGATTTTGAATTTGCGAATTGATTATACCAGGAAAGGTCTCCTGTGCATAAACAAACAGGAAGAAAGGAGACTATATAAAGGAAGAATATCCGTTTGGCAAGTATCGTTCCACAGCGTCTTCAACCAGCATGAAGATCATTGTCTTGGCCTTGTGTTGTGCTCTTACTGCAGCCATTACCCAGCGCAGGTTAACGGCCACGGAACAGCAGCAGGTAATCGATAAGTTGAACGAGGTTCGAAGAAGGGTGTCCAACGGGGAAACCGTTGGCAAGAATGGGACCAAACTGCCACCTGCAACTGATATTCAACAACTTGTAAGTGCCATTGATTGTGTGTATAACGGTCATATATAGAACCACAATTCTACATTCGAAGATCAAGCTTACACCTGGGTAACGGGTTGTAATTATGATTTGCAACCCAACTCAAACCAATTGATCAGCGCGTTCGGCTCACTGACATCTGATTACGTTGGCACTCTCAAGCAAGCCATTGAGCAATGGTATAACGCCAGTCAGAGATATGCCGGAGATGTCAGAAACTTCCAAGCCTCCGATGCCTCTGACTTTTCAACTGTAGGTGAAGGTAACTTGATCATGAGTCTTTTAGCTCGCCTGGAACTATCTTAACCTCACGGGATGTGCTGTGGGTTTATGCTCGCAACTGAAAAACGGCAACAATTACTTTAATAACTTTACCTTTGTCGCCTGTAATTTCAACTCCGGTTCAAACTGGATCGGAAAACCAATCTACAACCCTGGAACGCCTTGCGACCCCTGTCCATATGGCTACCGTTGCAACAACTCTCTTTGCTACTTCGACTCGCAACTCCCACCTAGAACTCCTGGATGGCTGACAATTGGAGAAAGACAAACTGTTTTGGACACTCTGAACGGCCATAGAAGAGATCTGGCAAAGGGAAACGTGACTGGTGCAAATGGAAAGACATTCCCGACGGGAAGCAACATTTTAGAAGTCGAATACGACATCGGGCTTCAAAGCATCGCCGTCAACAACTTCACAAAGTGCACCAGTGGCTTCGCTGATTTGGCCAACTACAATGTGCTCAGCATCATGTTGAGGGGCGTTGAGACACCAGATGGCGTAAGTCTAGCGCTAATCATTTACTTAGAAACCTTGATGACGCAGTAATTGCTCCCTTTTCAGCAAGAATACAATTTCGCATTAAAAACCGCGATCAACAGTTGGTGGTATCCCGCAGGTTATAACAACTCCATCAGCAACTACCAAGGGTCCAGCAGCAACTTTGCCAAACTTGGTTGGGCCAAGGCTTCAAGAATCGGATGCAATCGCGAGATCTGTTTATTCCAACAACAAAACGTCACAGTAAGCAAGATTGTGTGTGTATTGGGAGAGGAGAAGGGCGCCGTTATTGGCCAACCTATATACTCCAGTGG